GAAGAGGGCCGAGTGCCACGGGGAGTCACCTCCGCGTGGCCGGGTGACTTCTGCCCTTGCTTCTCTTTTGCAGGTCTTTCCTTTTCTTCTTTGTGAGATCAAGTACAGATGTCTAGCTAAAGAAACTGGAATTCCACGTGAACGAATGCCCCCATGTTTTGCATATGTAGATTCTATCCTATACACGAAAAGGGAGTTGATGAATTTTACATATAAATTCACATTTATCTGGCTATCTGCTTTATGGTATTTGGCAATCCTGTTAGTCGTAAAGTTGCCGAAGATCCACACAGTATACACATTACAGAAATAAAGAATAGAGAAGTATGTTCAGTTGCAACGTAGGAACTTTCTCTAGACTGATACTTTTACAGCAGCATGGAGTGCTAATGTCTGGAGCAGAATTTGGCCACAACGCATATAAACACCTATATTTAATTCCTTTTTTGAGACCCACCCCCACGCAATCCAGCACAACAGGTCCCGAAGCCCATAATTATCACACATTAACTTCCACTACAAGGTAATCAGGACCCAGATTCCTTGAAGTACAAATGTACAAATTTAGCAACCCACCTACAAGTTTCGTAATAAATGTACATATTCAAATTAGACGCCTGGGTTTGCTACTGACAGATCTCGGTATTATACTAATCTTAGAATTTTAAAGTCACCGCAAATGGTAACGAGTTATTTCCAATTAATACTTTTATATTTGTGTGCATGTGTAACACACTTGTAATTGAATGCTAACTTATTGCCTGAACACTGATACCTATAGGAAACTCACACCATCTTTTCTTTGTAATGACCGGGTTTCTGTGGAACTACTCCACTGCTAATGCACTGCACAGCTAATTGTGTTATCTTGCATCATATGAGTTTGTTGGTCATTGCAGCGGATTTTAAAAAGCAAAACAAAAAGCCAAAACGGGCATCAAGTGTGCATTTGATTTCTAGTTAAATTCGGGTCCAGCTGCTGCACGACTTATCACTTATTTCTGACAATCTGACATCAATATAATGTACACATTGTGCTCTCACCACCAATATTCCCCATCATTAATATCCAAATATGTACAATCTACCTAACCCCCTTTTTGTTTTGAGACATTTTCTCACTATCTAGTCCTGGTTTGCTTGGAACTTGGCAACTGTTTGCGTCGGCCTCTGAAGTGCTAGGGTGACAGGTGTGCGCCACCATACTTGGCTGGAAGCATCCTTTCAAATATGAACGCACGCTTTGCCATCACCTCAGCAGGAAAACTAACACTTTTGGTTTCCCTGTGCTCTATCTCCTACATTCTACATATAACTATAGACTTATCTGCTTAGTTTTGGTTAGAAGGTAAAGCTGTGTCAATCCAAATATTTTTGGCTTTTAAGGAGTTTAATGACTAGGTTTCGGTTCCCTAGCCAACCCTTGTCCTGTCCCCCCCACCCATTGTTACTAATTCTACCAACACACACATACCTGTGCATAGTGCTGGCAGGAGGGTTCAACACTGAGAAATTGGCAGTAGGCATTGGCCTTGGGGAGGACCCAAATTTGGGCAGTTAATGCTGGCTGGCTGACAGTCACCTCTAACTCCAGCTCCAGGGCACCTGAAGCCTTCTGCTGTTCTCCTTAGCCACCTGCCCCATGTGCACACACACCATACCCCTCCCATATACACAAAAGTACAGTTTCTTACATCCTTCCCTATATCTTCCCCCACCACATCCTTTAGTTATTTTACACAGTCTTCCCAGCCATTAGGACTCACTTTAAAGCCTATACTCATGACCAAGCCTTTTCATTTCTTTTTGGACTTCTTTTTGACTATTAATAGCAATATCAACTAGAACCACAGGAGATGCAGTAATCTCATGTTGTACTGTATCTTTGCACACTTAGCTGTATTCCCTGCAAACGCTGAAGGGTAGAGATAAACTCAGGTGTTACAGTCAGCATTATTTGTGATATAAGGTTTTCTCATCTAGATATACCCCTTCCCCCCCCTTGTCACATGACAAGGACACACTTACAGGTTCATACCTGATGGCCATACAGTCAAGGACAAGAAAGACGCTACTCTTGTCCCTGCCCCTTTCTTGAACAATGTGTATCAAGTGTGTTTTATTTCTATCACAACTTAAAACTTGCCACAGGCAGGCATAGTGCTTTCGAACATTCCTTGTAAGATTATATCAAATAACTCTATACATTAATCATCACTATTAATCCCATTTCATAGACAAGAACACCAAACAGGCTGATTAGCTTGCTCAGGTCACATACTCGGCAAACAACAGGAACTGAATTTAGGAAGACCCTTTAACCACTGTGCTATTGCTGATATACACAGCCTCTCAACAATCCAGGTACTTCAAACAGATGGTTTTTTTCTTTTTCTAGGTACAATGTTTTAAACTTGGACCAGTATAAAAATCCCAGGCAGCTTATACAGAGAAAGTTCTTATACAATTTCTCCTCAATATTTGTAGTTCTTTATAATATTCATATATATATATATTCCAAATGCAGTCACAGAAACAGCAATTGCCTCAAAATATTTTCAGTTTATTTCAGTGATATTAATACAATGAAACTTTTTTTTTTTTTTTTACCAGCAACCCTACTGTAGCTAAAAGAACAGATCTTGAAGTAAGCCATGCTGGCTTAGGTTTGTCACTCTAGAAAGTGACCTCTGAACTTTGCTTTCCTTGAGTAAAGTGAGTATAACCCTAACTTCCTCTGAGGACTGAAGAAAGAGGAACCCTGGTTCCTCAGGTACTCTACAATGGCCGTTTTTGAACCAGGAACTATAAAAGTTATTGGACCTGAAAGCAGTACACATTAAATAAGATGGGAATTCCAAGCAGGAATTTCAATTTAGGTCTTTTCCCTCCCTGCCTTGAAACAGTATTTCAAGTGAGATTCCTGGGTTCCAGTGAGATTCCCGTTTCAGCCTCTGGAAGGATCAGAGGCCAGTAACATTTGTAAGTTGTTAAAGAAAATCTGAACAGAATTTCTTGGAGCTGTGGAGGGATGGTTGAGTGCTGATAAATATAGGCAGTGTCAAAACAGCTGCCCCAAATTAACAACAACACACTTCAAGTTTAAAAGGGCCTAAGCCAGACTGAGGAGTTGATTAATTTACTTAGCAGGTACAAAGCCTTAATTAGTTCAGTTCTGCTCCCCCAAATGCCCCTAAATCTAATCTACATGACAACTGTGCTTTTAAGTTGACCTAGAATTCTTACTCAAATTTTGAATCTACTTTATTTCAACTATGGACAGATACCTCATGTCTTTCCAACTGTACATTCATTTTTCCCATTTTATTTATCAATAGCTTTAACCAGTTCCTCAAAAACATTCTCCCTTTATTTCATCTTATAACTTTTTCCAAATTGATTATTTACATAATAGCATGCAAAATCACCAGTCTCAAATGACTGGGGGAATCAATGATGTTCTAAAGCTAACGGGGGAGGGAAAGAAGCACAAAGTGCACTAAGAGAGAAATGGATCAGCCATCAGATCTGAAACAAACTTATCAAGGAAGTTAGGATTGAGGTTAACTCATAGGACTGGGACGACATGTGTAAGATCATCTTAGTGGTTACAGGAAGCAAACTGAGGATCCTCGGATTCAGAGTTTTAACTATGTAGCTCTGAAGAAACACCTACCCTAGATCACAAAAATTTGGCTTTGAAGCTAGGAAACTTCCCTGGTATATTACATAACCCACACAGCTCAGCAACACAGAGATTGTAAGAAGAGGATACAACAAACAGTGGTGTGGTATTACGATTCAAGAATCGTGTTGGGAGCTAAGAAAGGAGTCTTGCAAAATTAGATAAAATATCCAGTCTGACATAAACACCATATGGTAACTGACTTGAGACAGGAATTGGATGCTATGTGTTAAAATTATGACATAGAGGGAGTAAATGCTGGAAAGAAAATACAATTTGCAGTAGGTCTAAATCTTAGTATTTTACTTTCTTAAATAACTACAGTAAGACTGTAATGGTAGCTCTTTCTTCCACTTACTAAAACTTCACAGTAAGTAATACTGCTATACAGGGGCTTTGCAAATAATGGCATGACTTAAGAGATCTTCCATGGCTACACAATTTACTGAATTTTAGTTTAAAATGAAGCTTAACGTAACAATATTTGTAGCAATTGCAAATGACCTAAAAAAATCCAGTAATCGCCCCCCCCCCCCCCCCTTTTGAGACAGGGCTTCTCTGTGTAGCTTTGGAGCTTCTCCTGGCACTCATGCGGTAGACCAGACTGGCCTTGAACTCGAAGATCACTTGCCTGTGCCTTACAAGTGCTTCCCGGCAATTTCCCCTTTTCTTACACAAGGTCTAATCATCCTCAACAGGGTAATAATGTTTCCAGGTGTCTCTTTGTCACCGTAAGCAACAACGGGCAAAAGAATACTCCAGGAGTACTCAGAAATAAGAAAATTTCCATCACATTGTTGTAGATACTTATTTAATTTTATGTGCTTGGGTATTTTTGCCTGCATTTGTATGACTGTTTACCACTGGAGTACATAGTGGTCGTGGAAACCTCAGGAGGGTGTCAGATCCCCTGGAATTGGAGTTAGAAGGTTGTGAGCCACCATTTGGGTGCTAGGAATTAAACCAGGGTCCTCAGACAGAGCAGCCAGTACTCTTAAGTGCTGAGCCATCTCTCCATCACCCAAATTACTGTTTTGTGATAGAAAAATGGAAACAGATGAAACAGAAGTAATATGCTGCCTGGAATATTTCCTGAAAGCAAGCTGTGTGAATATCAGTAAGTAGTACTGAGATGATATAAACCTATCAGCATTCAAAGTGTTTACCTCCCAAAACAAAGGCTCTTCCCTCCAAAGGCAGAACAACCCTCTCCCAAGAACACAACAAAAAGACCTACACGTTTTTAATACTCCTCTTTAAGAAAAGTGGCATCATTCTGCTCTTCACAGCACAGCAAAGACATAACTGTTCCAAGTTTAGCTACTGAATCCATTTATTATATCGATCCCATTCTGTCTTGGTGACAGAATCATAGAAATACAGTAGGCGATAGTCGTAAACTGCTTTACACTGTTCTGTCATTTTAAGATGGCAGGGAACTTCACCTCAGCAAAAAGGCAACAGGGGCCAGCGTGGAAGGCACTTCTATAATCACACTTCATGGGACGTGGTCACCAGTGTTTCTATTACTCTTACTTTCACACTGAAAGAGGAGGGAAGTGTGAATGGGCAGGTAATAGGAAGAGGAGTGAAGAGATAAAAACGAGGAGAAAGGAAGGTAAACATATAACTTAAATGGGAGGGAATGACAGCGATGCCCAAGAAAAGGGCAAGAACAGTAGTTACTCTTTGGATGTAACAGTGCATCATCGAACATGAATGAGTGCCAAGGATGTCCTCATGAAGCCATGTCCACACTCAGCCTGAGCACTTCTCTGAAGAGCCAGTGGCTTACGATCATGTTTTAGAGATACAAGCGGCCGCTTTGGGGAGCTGCTTAAAGGTAATTGGGAGGCAGACTCTCAGCTTGTCACTGCAAGCTCATGTAGAGAGTACTCATAGTCACAGCACTAACTCTGCTCACTTGCCTTGCTTTCTGAGCAAGGGCCTCCGTGTGTCATGCCAGCTGCCCCAGAAGTCTTGTGTGAACCCCCCTACCTCTGCCTTACTGGCCTCACAGGCATGAGCCCCTACACCCAGCTTATCCACACGGCTCCCCAAAACCAACACTGCTTATACAGTAAAAAAGACTGGATTTAATCCAACTCTTCTAAAATGGCTGGCATGTAAATTAATGACAACTTTCCCATTTACAAAAACATTAAAATGAAAGCACTGCTCTACTCTCCATACATACAAAATTTTAATTCAAATGACCATGAAGTAGCAAAACTATTTATCTACTATATGTAAGTCAGTCATACAATGCCCTGTAATACCCGTGCTTCTCACAAATAAAAACAAAACAAAACAAAACAAAACATAGTTCGGTTTAATAAAGACAGCCTTGTAGCCCTAAGCACTGCAAATTGTCATCTTTTGACAATTCAGGGTATCTCCAAAATGCCAAATCTAGTAAGTTGGGACATTTTAGGTTGCTAGTAGTGCTTCTGAAGAGACCATTCTTGTCTACTTTTGTGGCAGTTTTCTAGAGAAATCTATAACCCACAGTAGCCTGAACCCAGGCACAAATCTATTTTGGGTCTTGATTTCCAGTTAAGTTCATTGGAGATCACAGGCAGGTATTTCCTGAAAGTGTCCTCTTCTTTAGTGGCACTTAGCCAACTCTCAGAGATCGGGCTACACATGGATTATGTACATCTGAGGAGTGTACACAACAGTGCCTTCTCTTGACCCACTGTCATGAGCATTTTGTTAAATGGATGCATTTCTGATGTTTCCTAGCACCTTTTAAATGTTATTGGCTGCTACTTAAAGTGAATGTTATTCACTAGGATAACATACACTAAATTGTACACTGTTTTCTTCTGATGCTTTTTATAATTTAAAGAATGCAGCAGGTGTTCGCTCAACAACCATATGGGGGAAACAGGTGAGAACATAAATGTTAATAAAAAGATAAAAGCATTTCTTTTTTAGTCAGACTTAATTTTTTCCTTTTGGCACATAATAGGTTTTTAATAAATGTTATGTAAAATGCATATAGTAAAACTAACAAAATTTGAAGTTAATCATAAAGAAATAAGACTACAAAACTGCCCTTTCTTCCTTGGTAGTGGTTGCACTAGTAGAATCTAAAAGGTGATCTATGCAAGTAAACAATTACATGAAGACCTCTATGATCATCCAGTTGTTGGCACAGCCTGTGTTCAGCAATCTCTAACAGATGGTCAGTGGCAAAAACTCTGATATTTAAAACTCATGGCACTGGGGTTGGGGATTGGTTGGGGGGGGGCAATGATGGAGACTGAACCTAGTGCTTCATGGTTGGAATCTAGTAACTCCAAGAAGCCCAGTTCTTGTAGTGACTTACAGAACAAGGACAATGTCTTGACCATTGTCCAGGATCAGCACATATAAGAAAATGTAGCTGAGAAGAATGTGTGGTCCAGAGGCATTCATTACAGAAGTAACTCCTTGGGAGTTCAGAGAAATTTGGGGAAGAAGCCTGTCAATTAGTCCACTGAGGGAGTGGCTCACTTGCTTGACATTGGGACTGTCATTAATTAATGTACATTGACACTCAACACATTTTTATGTTTTGAACTATACAACATGACATTGGCATTGAAGCTAATAATGTATTAGCTCAAGTTCATATAACTGTATGCTGTAGACCCTGACTTACAGATAACCTTCACTGGAGATTAATCATTCAGATTGCAGTTGATCTGCTATTAGCACACTTTTACTTTATATAAACTCATGGCAATACTTTGAAAATGTTGTCACCCTTGTTATTAATGTTGCCACCCTTGTTATTTTGATACTTTATCCGTGATACCTCTATTTTTAAATCCACAAGTAGATATACCAAAATATAAAAAATACACGGCTTGAGTCATTTTTTTACACCTTTAAGAAAACACTGACAGCACAGTCTATGAAATGCCATGTTTTACCTTAACCTTAGATGAAATAATAAAATAGAAATTCATTGATTCATGTGAATAAAAATAATATTCTTCAAAATAGGCCTTACCATACGTATACACAATATAGTGCAAATTAAATCATTACATAATTAAAATAGCCTCAAAATTGTATAACATTGATCACACAACTTAAATGTCACTTTATAGTTATGATTATTCTGGAGAGCCCAAAATTTATAAACCTTGTTAAAGTCAAAAGCTTTCTAGTACATTAAAATAATATCAGCCCCATTATCATTTCTTATTATTAGCAACGTTGTCATCATTTTTCATGTTTTCAGAATCTGTGAAATGAAATTTTAGCGTGGGAGAAAAATATTACAGCAGCATAATTAAATAAAGAATGCATCCAGCGAGGTCACAGTCAGTTTTGTAAGAGACAGGTCATAGACTGTCACAGCGTGAGCGCTTCACTCTACCCCAGTAAGCTTGCTGCACTGGGAAACACTGGCTCCCTCTGGTTGCTTGCCTGCCTGTGACACGTGGTTTATACTGTGGGCTAGCCCAGTGTTGTTTTGTCTTGAGAGGAACTCAGAAAGGGAAACACAGAAATGAACAAGACCTCACAGGCAAAGTTTCATGAAACCTCAAGTCATCTTGCCTTGGTGATTCAAAGACAGTGACAAATGTCACAGGAAAAGTCAGTAGAAATATAAAATACGAAGTCTTTAAAACTCAGACAGCAAATATAAAAACAGACACATGAAAGCTGAGAGAGGCTTAAAGAAATGAGGTATGATTTTGGGGTCATCGTGCTACAATGGTATCTCAGTGTATTCTGTTACAACCTGTGCTTCCAAGGTGTGAAGTCAGCAGATCCTAACTCCCACTTCTTCCCATGATCCTCTGGACACCAACAATAGACATAAAAAGCATGACGCTAACTGTGTGGTTACATAATAAGCTTATCTGCCCCATAAGAAGGCAAATCAGAAGTAAAAATGTAAGCAAACAATTTTGTATTAATAATAAATACAGCTTCAAGCATTTAACATCAATATTTTTAAACTTTAAATAAATGCAACTATTTTATACAGAACTGTACCATTTATTATACACACAGTATATCAGTTCCCTTTGTGTTCACAAAGGCTGGCTGTAGATAATATGGAATGTTACAGTACCACCTTGCATAAAATTTTAGTACAATTCTGTACTTGAAAAAGGGTGCAAAACACCAGCCTTAAAAATCTGAATGGGAAATATTTTTTCTTGCTTTTAAAAAAGCACATCATTGACACGCACACCACACACTGTACATAAGCTCACTTGTAAAAATCACCAACTGAAGATACGGTAGCAGGTATGATGTCGAGCTCACTATCCCTCCCATCGATATCACCTTTATAAGGCTCCATGCAATTCCTCCAGGAGCCTTGGTTGATACGTATGCTTCTATATGAATTACTGAACACAGGTAATTACACTTTCATTTAAAGAAGGCAAACATGAGCTGCCAAGAATGACTTCGGTAGAGGGCGTCCTTCCATAGAGGACCTGGGATGCTGTCTTTCTCCATCTGCATGACTAGCTGGTCATGACTCTCCGTTTTGAACTTTGGATGCTGGTGGCTGCATGAAATCCTTAAAGGGAACCAGTGCCTCCTTAAGAGCACAACAGACTTCTGAGGATGAGCACGTGATACATTCTACCAAAGTCGGGTATAAGGCGATTACCTGTGCCCAGGTATTTCCATCAACTGGAATACAAAAGGAATAAACCTCTCAGCAGAGTGGATATAAACAGCAGTCACCCAATTCACAGAGACACAAAACACTGTAACACAAATGCTTCTGCAAGCATCTTTTAATTTTTAAATTTGTAAGATTTCCTGACATAAGAATATGGAAAAGAAGAGATGATACAGTATTGTGTACTTAGAAATTAGGTAAGAAAGAAGATAAGGGGCTAGAGAGATGGCTTCATGGTTAAGAGCACTGGCTGCTCTTGCAGAGGTCCAGGGTTTGGTTCCCAGCACCCACATGGCTGCTAATAGCCATTTCTAACTTCAGCACCAGGGGAATCCAATGCCCTCTTCTGACCTCCTCAGGCACCAGGCACAAAAGTTGTACATATATATACACACAGACAAAACACTCATATACATAAAACAAAAATAAGTGAAATCTTTAAAAAGAGAGAAAGAAATGATCAATGTATAGACTCATCAATACCAACAAATTGAAAAAAGCATATTTTAAATGATGCTTCAATTTGTGAAAACTCTGGGATTAATTTGATACACTGTTAACGTCCAATCATTATTTTCTGTCTAGTTAGTTGCCAGAAAATATAGTGTGCATGTCAAGAACAGTTAGAAAATGCTTTTCTTCCATTGCCTACTCAAATACCAATTCTAACTTCAAAGCACTGCACAGGCATCATCGTCTTCCCCAGTGCTTGCTGACCTCGAATGTGCATTAAGAGTCTGCTTTCCTCACCACATCTACCAAGTGGACACTTCTCAGCAGGAGGGCAAGAGTGACCCAGCTTATTCAACAACCTGCTTGCTTATACTGAGATCACATGTGACATTTACGCTTTGTTGTTTGCGGGATTTTCCCCGGTACTTGTGACTTGGACACATGAACAAGTGTTGTACCATTAATTTTTTTCACCTTTTAGTCTGAGACAGTGTCTCAGCAGGCTGGCCCCCCCATCTTATTCTCTGGCAAGTACTTAGAGTGTTCAGTCTCCACATAAAATCTGCTGACAGGTGTCGTTTTGTTGCATGGAGCAAGTCTCCAGTCTTGAAGAACACTATGAAACACTATGAAAATGTATAAGCACTCCCTTTATGGGGGGAGGAGGCTGGTCTTAAAACAGGGTTTCCCTGTGTAGTCCTGGTTGTCCTGGAACCAGCTCTGAAGACCAGGCTGGCCTCAAACTCAGAGATCCGCCTGCCTCTGCCTCCTGAGTGCTGGGATTAAAGGCGTGCACCACCACACCTAGCTCAACACACTTTTTATAATTATTCTGTCCTTTATTGGTGTCAACATTTTCCCCCTGAAATAAGGTAGTACTTGGTACCCTGGTCAAGTCAGTATCAATTCTTCATCTCAGTTCTCCTGATGTGAAGTAAGGAAATAAGCTTAACATTGTCTCTCTCAACTTCTAAAGCAAGTCCCTGGTTAAAATAAACTTGGCAGCCATCACATATCTATCTCCTCTTAAAGAGCAATAACTCATAAGAATTCACTAACGGCTTAGAGTAAAAGCATACTCAAATTTACAGAATCCAGGGTTTCCATTTGTGTACGTACTACTCACTGCTCACCTTACACATGAGTGTGATCCCCAGGACCCATGGTGGAAGAAGGGAACCAACTCCCAGCAGTTGTCACCTGACCTGCACAGGTAGGGATGGCACTGTACACCTCTCCTCTACACACGTGATAAACAAAATGTAATAAAAGAAGCATTCACACCATGTACTTGTTTAGCGTGGTGTGGGGATGACTTAAAAGAAGTCGGAGAATGAACTGAAAACGCTGAGCACCACTTCTCCAGTTGTCATCTGAGACACTTCTACCAAAGCAAGGAGGAGCAGACAAATGGAGACTAGCGACACTGACCAATAACAGCTACATCATGACACTGATTCTTGGCTAATAAGAGGAGATACATCCAAGATGACACCTGGCATAACAGTTGGGGAATCTACTCAGGTTCTCACAGTATGGCCTAAAGCCTGCCACAATCTGAGGGACTTTTAACAGGAAGCCAGGTGTACAGTACATATCAGTAACCAGGAGAAAAGATTAGTAATTCAAGGTTATCCTTGGCTACAAACGTACAGTTCAAGGACAGCCTCAGTTACATGAGATTGTTTCAAAACCCCCAAAGTATAAAAATATTAAAGATATGTATGTATTGACACAGAAGAATATATTTGTTAAATGAGAAAATAGAAAATTAAAAAAAAAAGCTGGGTGGTGGCAGTACACACCTTTAATCCCAGCACTTGGGAAATAGAGGCAGGCGGATTTCTGTATGTTCAAAGCCAGCCTGGTCTACAGAGCAAGTTCCAGGACAGCCAGGGCTACACAGACAAACCCTGTCTCAAAAACAAAACAAAAGGTGGTTATAAACAGGGAGTACTGTTATTTATTTGCATAGAAAACTCATGGTTATTGGGGTATGTATTTTTGTATTTACATGATAAACTAGAAAGAAGCACAAATTAATAAAAACCAAGTGTAGTAACAATACACATCCACATTTTAACATTCATTTAGTGTGTGCATCACAACTGGCACTTGGAGGTCAGAGGGCAGCTTGTGGAAGTTGATTTTTCTCCTATATGTGGTTTCTGTTACTGAACTCAAGTTCTCTCAGGGTTGGTGGCAAATGCCCTCACCCAGTTCAGCACCTCAGCACCTGCTGCTTTTATATTTGTAATTTATGTGTATTTATATTGCCTACTCAAAAATTTGCCATCAAGTAAAATAATAAAAACAAAATCCCTTCAGACAAAAACAAGTCTCCAAATGCTTCGTTTCCAGCAACAAAACTACAGGAAGACAATGATAAAAAGTTTAAACAGACATGAAGCCTGTTGGCTCTTCACCTGGTAGCCAGCCAAGCCTGAGAGAGACTGGCTATGTGCAGTCCAACACAGTTCTGCTAGGCCGGGCGGCATTCCTATTTTTCCTTTCTTAAAGAAGCTTATTATACTTTTCTAATACATCATTGTAATTTACGGTTACATCAAATTAAAAATCCACTTCAAAGTTCAGGGCATAATTCCAACTTTAAAATGTGCACGTGTGTGTGCAGGCACACATGGAGGCCAGAGAGCAGCGCTCAGATGTGTGCGGGCGCACATACATGTGTGGAGGCAGGCAGCGCTCAGGTGTGTGCAGGTGCACGTGTGCAGGCGGACAGCGCTCAGATGTGTGCAGGCGCACATACATGTGTGGAGGCGGACAGCGCTCAGATGTGTGCGGGCGCACATACATGTGTGGAGGCGGACAGCACTCAGATGTGTGCGGGCGCACATACATGTGTGGAGGCAGGCAGCGCTCAGGTGTGTGCAGGTGCACATACATGTGTGGAGGCAGACACAGATGTGTGTGGACGTGCAGGTATGTGTGCAGACAAACAGCGCTCAGATGTTCCTTGGCACCATTCACTTAAGATAGTCTGTAAAGTTTTGTTTGTCCGCTTTATCGCTGCGTCTGAGTTCTGGAGCTAAACTCAGGTTGTCAGGCTAGGCCATCTTGCTGGACTCCCACACTTTTTAAAAATAGGTCATTTAAATAAAGACCAAACACTGCAAATGAATTCTACTGAACTGACATTGTAATGGACTTGAGTTTTGTCATCACAAGACCTGGAGGACAGAAAGCAGGGTGGTGTTCTCATTTCAAAGTGCAGCTGACTTAACAACATAAAGTACACGAACCGGAAGGTGTCTGGGCATGTCTCATACGACAATCATGTTTTCAGCACTTACCATTCTCAGGCTGAGTTTTCTTAAGCGAATCAATGAGAGTACTGACTGCTTTTAAAACAAATATGATTTCTGTTACTTGTTGCCTAAAATAGATAAGACATGATTCCCCTTAGAATTTTAAAGGATATACTGTATATTTCTTCCTCACAAAGTTTGTACGAATAGATGTATTTTGGAAAAATATTGAATACAATAAAAGATAATGTTAAATTCTTATAAAAAAGAAAATCATCAAATATATATAAAGAACAAATACATGTAAATACCTGTATTCCCAGATACAAATCTCATTTGTAGTTACTCTTCCCAAAATTATCAATGAAAGGGGAGGAAGGAAGTTAACTCTTGAAAAAATCTACATTTATAAGACAGCCCTGCAACTATTTACAATTAAAATACTTTATAACACACACTTTAAAAATTTCTCTACAACAAGATTTGTTTTCTAGCTAACAGTAATAGGAACCTGCCAAAGATTAAATGAAAAAGATACTTTTAATAACTGATACATATTTTATAATGCTGCTAAAAGTACACTCAAAATTACAATGATACTCAAGTGTTTTTCACTTACTTATGAATATTTTTATAAGACAACATGAGACATGCCGGAAACTAGTTCTGAGATGGCCTGTCTAGTGATGTTTAACAATAAAGAATGAGCACATAATAAGAATAAAGGGTCCAAAATAACTCCGTGGGTTTTCCCGTTCCACAACAGGAACAACTGTTTGCTCTATGGACCCTCTACTACAGGTCAGATCTGTAATCCCACAGACAGCCAGTCCTTCCCAGTACTGGACTACTTCAAGCCTTTCTTTCCTTTTTAATTTGAGACAGGATTCCCCAGTCTGATGTTAAACCTGTAACTGAAGACCACCTTGAACTTCTGATCCTGCTGCCTCAGTTTCTTGACTGCTGAGATTAGAGGCCTCACTATTAAGACTCTGTTTACATAGTTCTGGGGACGGAACCTGGTCGAGTACTCAACCAACTAACTGAACTACCGGTGTGTTTCCTCCTCTATTAACCACGTACCTTGGCAGAGGGCACTTTCCACTTAGCCTTTCATCCTCTATGTAGCGATGCAGGACATCCTGAGACCTCTTTAAGAGCACAGACAGTGCCATTCGTGAAATGTAGCCTTCTTGGGGTGTGGTGACTTTGTTGCTGAAGGAAAACTGCAGCAACGTTTCAAAACACATTTTAGAAAATTCTTCTCTCAAACGGATGTCAATCTCTGCTTCTGTGAAATGAACAGTATGTGACTGTTAATAAAGTGTTCAAACAATACATACTAATAAGGAGTCTAGCAAGCTAGGGATAGAAATATGCCCTCAAAAAGATGAAAAGCATTGAACAACCTATAGTTAATAATAGTGAAAAACCAATGATTTTCCCTCCTGGAATGTGAAAACTAAGGCTGTCTATAATCCACAGTTTCTTCCCGTGTGTGTGTGTGTGTGTGTGTGTGTGTGTGTGTGTGTGTGTGTGTGTGTGTGTGTGTGTGTGTATACACACGCTATAGTGTGCACACACAAGTCAGAAGACAACCTGTATGCGTCAGTTCTCTCACCATGTGGGTTCTGGTGACTCAACTCTGGTTTTCAGGCTGGGAGGCAAACACCTGTTGGTCAACAGTTTTCTAACCTTTTTACTGTTTGGAAATACTGTAAAATGAGTCACAAGGGCAAGGAATGTTCCCAGGACCAGCAGGAGAATGAAGTTCAAGGTCATTCTAATTTAAGTAGAAGTTTGAAGCCAGACATTTGAAGCTATGTATTTTTTTGAGGCCACCCTGGGGTACCTGGAGCCACTTAAACAACAACAAAACCTCACCAAACTTCTCAAGAGTTTACTGTAAATCAAAAGTCACAACCAATTGCCTTTTCTTTTATAATCTTTTCTCCTTTCCTAGCATCTGATTTTCTGGAACATGACCTGTTCTGGTCTAGACTACTTCTCTAACCATGCTGTCTAGCCTTAACCTGAAAGCAGTCTTTAGTCACCACCATGTTCCTTCCTTCCATTTTCTTGGCTTACTCTTGTTTTCATGAAGATACTCTGCAGTGGTTTCCCAAGAAAGGACGAGGAAAGCGCATCTCTGTTGACCTCTGAAGGTGTCACTATTTGTTGTGGCACTCAGGTGTGGCCCCCAGCACTTGCAGCTGCTCCAGAGCAGTGGAGAAAAATGTGAAGTCTCTTCTCTCCCATCCCATCTGACGTAAAAACTCCTGGGAATACGACATCCTTTCTGCTCAAGTACAAGAATTACTATTCTGTATCAGGCTTGTCCAGCTGTGTAGTGGCATCTTGCTTTGTCAGTGAAAAGAAGCCGCTACACAGCTGTGCCGAGGGTTGCACCTCCATGGTGAGAACTCTTCATTTCTAGCACCCATAGCAAGTCTTTAGGAAGCGTGCAGTTCCTGCAGAGAACTTCTAGGCTATTTAAAAAGACTTTGCCTCTGAAGTTTTTTAGTATCTTCTTTTTATTAATAAGTATGCTGATATTTTCTGATACGCCTTACTCTAAAGGTCTTTTTACCTTTCACTGTTCTGGGTACTGAATGATCATTTCTAATGTGAAGATACGCCTTCAGAAATGTCCTTATCTGTATTTCTCTGCTCCCTCTTGGAAGACGCAGTATCACATGTTAGACACTCCCGCCTCGTTTCTCTTTTTGATCACAGCGCATATTTTTCTACTGGCATCTGCTCTTATCTTCTTGGCCACCACTGTGACATTAGAACACTTGGCCCCAGCTGGAAGCACTGTTTAGGGAGGCTGAGGAGACGGAGCCTTGATGAAGGAAGTGTGTCACTAGGGAGGACATCCCAGTATAACTCGCTCTCCCTCCCTCCTGTCTCTCACATGTGGCATGAGTCTTAATTTATCTCACCCCCCCACCCTACTCTACTCTACAGTTTCCTGTCTGTCTGGGCTTCTTAGCTTGCCACTCCAGCTGCCACGCCTGCTTGCTGTCACACTTCCCTATCATGATGGTGAGGGACTCTTTCCCCTCTTGAATCTTAAACACAGATAAACTCAGTTTCTTTTATTTACTCTTGGCTCTGGTCTTTCCTTTTGGGGTCTGTGAACTTTGGCTGTCAGGTCATGCATGGAATGTCCTTGTGTGTGCTACAGAAAAGCTCTGAGTAAGGTTGAGGGATGTGTTCTGCAGAGTCCCTGGAAGGGTGTGTAGGTGCCCTACAGTGTGGCACATCTTCACAGCAGTGAAGACCAGAGCACACCTGACACTCGGCGCTTCCTGAACTGGAAATATTTACACCTCATCTTAATTTACTTTATTAAAGTAGCTAGCATTTTAAATAGAAGTATGATATAAAAATTAAGTCCACATAATTTTTTCTCTGAAATTCCCATGCTGATTAACTTAAAGGCCTTTTTTTTTAATTGTTGGATAAGTGGGGGGAAAAGTTTAGTTTGTTTTGTAGGCAGTGTGAGAGCCATCTAGAGGCCAGACTTTACAAATGTCTTAAAATATCACAGATTATTCATGGGTGTGGTAAATGCTGGGATTAAGGATATGTACTGAAAATTTTTATAACTTCTAAACAATCTCACAGAAAAAAAATCACATAACAATGTCACAATTACATCTGAGATCTGAATACATCTTTTTTTTTTTTGGTTTTTACGAGACAGGGTTTCTCTGTATTGTTTTGGAGGCTGTCGGTCCAGCCCGGCCTCGAACTCACAGAGATCCGCCTGCCTCTGCCTCCCAAGTGCTGGGATTAAAGGTGTGCACCACCACCGCCCGGCCAGAATACATCTTTTAATAAAGAGAAATAATAACAAAGCACAATTTGGGTAGCAGCTTAAATTAAGGTGTGATAACATAATGAAGGGAACATGTTCTTATTTAGTCTCTAGTCTTAGGACTATGGGAGTTTTTTCAATCAGACTAAATACATCTTTCTTTAAAACTCTGGTAGCTATCCTCAGAAATGTTTTGAGGAATGCTATAACTTCCTATCATAATGTTTGTACACAAAAGGCATTCAATAAGTGTTTGTTCCTTTAAAAAAATGTTAAGGTATTCCCCCCCATAAAGAACCAACATATTAAGTGGCAGAATGTTCTTTGATAATATTCTTTGACATATTCTTTACAATAATCCACAACTGGACAAAACTAGTAACCTTTGTCAACTCATATAACTTCATTAGATTCCAGCAGTGCCACATAATTTATTTAATCAGATCTTACAAATACGAACACACCTACATTTTCTCTCATAAAGCTTAAGGCTCTACATCACACCCCTAGAAATGACCTCCCCATTCCTCAGCTTATACTTAAACGGGAGGTTAAACACGCCTTCTCAGCCTCTTCCAGTGCACTGTGTGCTTCTTACCACTGTGACAACTTTGAGACAACACACCTGTGAATGAGGAGGACTGGGAGTGTATGGAGCCCCTGTTGAGCATGGTCATCATCTGGCCCACAAAGGCTCTAGGGATAAGATTGGCGTATGGGAGTATCTCTGCACTGATAAGCTGGACCACCTAAAACACAAGGAAAGTCAGATACATCTGTCCTCGAAAGAGACCAGCTCAAGTACAATTTCTAGAGTTAAAGTTAAATTTTATATTTAAAAAAAGTAAAGAGTCTTCCCTGATGAACTAAGCTCTGTTACTATACATGACCACTGACACTCAGGTTTACTATACTACAATTTTATATGTTGATCTTCATCCCAACTGTGAGCATACAGAAAAACTGAAATTCACCCATGCTAAAGTTAGATATCCAAATTAAGGTTAAGCTTACTTCTTATATCAGAAATTATAAACTATGAGAAACTCAAGTTACACTCATTTTTGTCAAATACATTATCCTGACAGCTTATTTTATCCTTGAAAGGAAAAACTCATCCAAGGCTTAAAACAGCAATGACACAGATGTGACACTTAGATCTATGGCAAAGCCTACACTTCCATGAAATAATGTATTTGATTTACTTAAAAGTTAAGCCATCTCACTTAAAAGACAATAGATCCCAAATCGTCACCAATCCAAACTTCGAAGCTAAAAACTTCACGGAGGCAAGACGGCTCAATTGGTACAGAACCCACTAAGAGTGGAAGTCTCCTCAGAGTTGTCCTCTGACCACACAGCACAACAGGGAGACAGACGGAGGCATGCATGCATCACATATGTATGTTCCCTTCCCCACTAAAAAGGGAGACAGACGGAGGCATGCATGCATCACATATGTATGTTCCCTTCCCCACTAAAAAGGGAGACAGACGGAGGCATGCATGCATCACATATGTATGTTCCCTTCCCCACTAAAAAGAAAAAATTTAAAGTCTCTAAATTCCATTTATAATGCTCAAATATAGTAAAAGAGAGAGAGAATTTTTCTAAGTTTGCTTACTTCAACATCAATACTTTCATTTCTTTGAAATTCTTGAATAGAAAGATTATCTGGAGGTATGCTAAGAAAGAAAAAAAATATTTTTAAAGGTAAAACATTTCTTGAACAAACAAAACAGATAAACAGTATTTAAATGATAAAACATTAGGTCTTCCTCCTCAGGTTGAGACATTATGGTACACTTAAAAGAATACACTTTTAAATTCAAGTAGTTAGTGTAAATGATTTGTTAAAACCCTTGGACCAGTCTTGAACTGAACAGTTGCACAACTAAATTTCTCTTGGTACAATGTATAAAAAAGAAAGATTTACAGATAATACCATTGAGAGTACATCTGAATTGATTTACATTGACCATGACATGAAAGACCCTCAGCCAAGCCCATTGTTAACTTGTAATACAATGCACTCAATCCTTTACAGAAAATAGAAGGGACTACCCATAAGGAGGCCTGATTTAGATTTTCTAAAACCAAGTTATTACCAAAGAACAAAGGAGTTAATAGTTCCGAAAGAACCAAGGTGGAGTCTAGACTTTCTGATTTATGAGTAGCAAGAAGGTCTAAATTAACAGAACTCTGAAATATTAACCGTCTGAGAGCAACTGAAAACAGAATGACAGTCACAACAGCTAGACTCAGCCAGGGTCTCGCAGAGCTTCGTCTGCATTACTCCTGTGTGTCCTCACTGCAACCCCATGAAGCAAGCAACCCCAGTCACCAGAGGGGAACACCGAGGCCTAAAAACACATCTGCCACCACACCTCAAGTCAATGGCAAGGCTGCAATTTGAACTGCTTTAGCTGACATTTAAGCCTATATTACTTTCTTTTATATTGCACGCATAAAACAGGACCGATGCATTTAGATTTAGTGGTATCCTGTACAGTTTCACACTATAGCTAGACGGTTAGCAGGCCTTCCGACACCACACACTAAGCACCATGTCCTCGGCATCAGGCACAGGGTTTTCCACCACAGTGACCTGTAAACACCCTTCCTCCTCTAGCTGCTTCCTGTCAGTTACTAGGGAAGAGCAGTGAGAAAGTAGGAGACATATGAATGCCTGTCCAGCGTGCACAGTCGGTAACTGTCAACCCAGATCTCACAGCTATGACCAACAGTCTTCTGTCTTTTTAAAACTTTTCCTTTTACATCCATGAACTGACCTTTTAGTAAAGAGGAAGTCTTCAAGAGTGCTGGCTAATTCTGGCCACATGCTGTCAAATTTCCCAGATGAAGCATGCTGTCGGGCGACAGGCAGCCCGATGGAAAGGACTTTGAGGAGAGATGCTACTGCCAGTTTCCATGTGCTTTCAGAAGGGCAGGAATACTTCAAACTGAGAGGAACCCTTAGAGTCTGAGGAGAAAGACAGTTAAGATTGGTTAAGATACACATAGCTGCATTCAGAACAAAACTGAAGAAACAACATCGCAGCATCTTCACTGGCAAGAAAAATAAGATTGGTCGATTCTCAGACATAGTCCCCAAAGCCCACTTCCTAGAAAGATATAGCCCATTTTATGCTAAGAATGACCAGTACCACTGACTTAACTTCAGCTCTGGAAGCTACATGTGTTTTTCAAATGGGACACACAGTCTCACTAATGTAGCTCAGGTTGGACTCAACCTGTCTGTCCCTTGTCTCAGTTTGAGTGCTGGGTTACATATGTGCTGCAACCATGCTGTGTTAACACCATCTCCATCTATCCTGACCTGGTTCTCCCAGCAGAAAGGCATTTTGTTCATATGGCTCGCCCGTCCAAAAGAGTGTAGAACTGTGAATACTTCACCAGTGGTTAGGAGAGAGCTCCTGAAATACCATTACTTTCAAGTTTCATACCTAAGATTCCTTGAGTTTTATATTCTACTCAAATATTTTAATGTACCTTTTATAATACTGCAATAAAATATCCATGCAAGGATATGAAACTTGAAGAAGCCTAGGTTTAGATTTGTCCTTCAAATACAAGAAATATAATGAACAAGACTAATCTTGAAACGCTAAATACAATTCATGCATCTGAGGTCACTATAAGTAATGTGTTTTCATTTACTCCAATATATTGCCTAAAGAGAAATTTCAATATTTTTATAACAGCAAATAAAATTATAGAGATAAGAAAAGATAATTACCTTAATAATGTTCTGGAGGACTTTCTCATTCACCACTGCTTTATGACAGGCTGTTTTTTGGTACAAATCGACAACTACTTCCAAAGATCTTTCAGCAAATGGTACATAGTTCAGGGCTACCCATTCCGCCTAGAAAGTAATATTTTCACGTGGAGTTAAAAGTAATAGGACTGAAGGAAATGATATTGGTTTTGAAAAGATAGTTCCTTTTCCTTACAAGCTCAGGCCTTGGTTCTAGATCAGATCATATTACATGCAAAGTTTTAAAAACACATGTACTTCATAAAAAGTTTCAGCCAGGCAGAAGTTACAACTACTGGGGAAACACAGAGAGCACTCTGTCAAGACTGGGAACATGGGCTTTCACTTGGTGCCAGAAGGTTAGGACAGTTTTAGGAAATTTAACTCACCGGTGCAAATAGTTGGATCTATTGTGATTCCATTGTGATGCAAGACAAATAGAATGAGAAAAATGAATACATATTAAAACTCCTTCCGGACTAAATATATTATAATTTTTATATTGATGAAGAAAATCAACATGTACATGCATTCAAAAGTTTACTTTTGTTCTAAGTCAAAACCATGATATAAGCTGCCAACTAAGGCTATGAAAATTTATGTAAGAATCCAACTATAAATTTCACACCAGCAACGGACAACTTATTTAGTACACACAGATTTCTTCATCGTATACTGTAGATAACTATGTTAAGGTAGGATTAGGATCTGAAATTTACAGGCCATTTTGTAGAAGAATGGGGTAGCCAAGAGAAAGGTACAGGGAAACTTTCATGTTTGAAGAAAGCAGAGACGTGAAAGGGCAAACTTTCAGGAGAGGAGAGTCAGGAACAAGAAGGAAGGGTCACAGACAGTTTCTCGGATAATGAACATACCTACTCTGTAACAGACAATTGAGGAGAAATGGAAACTCCCTTTCTTAGGTAAGCAAAGTTTGCCTTAATTGGGGCTCATGTATAAGCCATAACTCATTACAGAATAAACACGATCTGTGTAAACTACCTGATTATATTTTGCATTTGCAATGTGCTTTGTTTCCAGCTGTCCATACTGTGGAGGTTTACATGAGAACTCGACAAATGCCAATAACTGGTCAAATATAGCTGGGTACATTATCTGCATGTTTTCTGGTCCCACGCAGATGGCCTGTAAAGCAATATGTGAGCATTAGGATGCAGAGTGTGGACTGTAGAACGTTTCTTCCTGTGTACTTATTTGCTCATACAAACATAGTATCTTAAGAGTAATATTATCTCAGGCAGTATGTCATCTTTTCACACTTGGAGTTCAAGCCATTTAAACAATTACTAAGTAAAAGTCAGCCTGGAGGTGTTTAGTCAGATTAAAATGACTTTAATAAAGTGTGATTTGTTCTTTACGGAGAAGGAAAAGGGCCAGCATGTTAGGACAAGCTCCAGGTATTGCTGGGGTGCAGTATCTGAGATGTGCCCCATGGCACCTATGAGATCAGCATCAGGTCAAGATGAAGCTGACTTCAGTGTAAGTGCTATTTATCGGTTCCTGAACACAACTGATTACTGCCCGCGCATGTCTATACATTCACAGGTGTTATGGTTGAAAAAAAAATTTTGTGTCACTTTTTAAAAGATTTATTTAAGTTTTGGAAAACATTCCTAATAACCACAATGAATAACTATATTTGTTCTTTTTCTGCTAAAGTGGAGTTACTAAAAAATAAAATTTCAAGTTTTACCTTGAAAAAGGAAGGAGGCTTAGCATGTTCTTTATTTTCTTCTATGTATGTGTAACAAACCTGAATATGGAGTTATGAGAGTTCAAGAATCTGGGAACTCTCCAAATGAGTCTTTTTTTATTTTGGTAAAAAAACTTTTTATTCAATTTAGGGAAATACACAAACAATGTATTTGTGTAATTTAATCAGAGAGGAAAGTGTGATGAACTATATTTTTTCTTTGAAAATTTTTAAAACTTAATTTTGATTTCAGTTGTGAGTTGTGGAGATTCATGCCCCTCAAACAATCTTTGAAAGTCAGATTGTCTTAAATTTTGAGTTTGTCCACCATTTGTCTCTTGTGCAGTACAACTAAGGTTACACAAATAAGGAACTATTCTTAGCTCTCGGGTACCATGGTCCTTAGCAGAAACAGCAGCTGCATTTTCATCATCCCAGCCAGGTACAAAGCCACCAGTTACCTAGAAACAGGCCTGACAAATGGCTCACAGATGAGCCAGACAGTGGCACGGGCTCCCTCTCGTCTCAGCCACTTTGCTGAGATGGCTGACCACTTCCTTGGCCCTTTCTGTCCGTGTTTGTTTCCTGAGGTAGAGTTCCATACTGTAGCTAAGGCTGGGCTTAAACACGTGGACTTCCCTGACTCAGACTTCCTCGTGCCAGAGTCACAGATGACTGTGTTCAGCTTTTCGTTTTTCCTTTAACACATTTACTTCATTACATGTGTAAGTGTGCACATATACCTGTACCATGGCACGTGTGTGGAGAGTGGAACAACTTTTGGGATGTGTGTCTTCTGCCAGGTGGGTACCAGGGACCACTGTCAGGCTTGGAGGCAAGCTCCTTCACCTGCTTAGCCGCCTGTTATCCTCATTTAGGATTCTGATAGTTATGAATTGTATCAACTTGCTTGATAATCTAAAAAACACTTGATATGGTCGTGCTTCTCAATCTGAATTTATTCAATGTTTTTATGTTTATGTTTTATTTTTATGTTTAAATCTGTGTTTTACTGTTGTAGAAAACAATACACAGCTAAAAATACACACTTTAAAATTGAAGTAAGAAAAATACTTTTACATGCTTACCCTTGTTTCTTAGTACAGGCTACCAATAATTTCACAATTAATGTTATACTGCATTTTTTAAAAATGAGCACTGATTGGTGTTTTGCCTGCATGTATGTCTGTGTCAGGTACCCAGAACTGGGGTCAGAGACAGTTGTAGACTGCCACATGGGTGCTGGGAGTTGAATCTGGGTCCTCTGGAAGGTTCTTAACCCCATGCCATCTCTCCAGCTGCAGAATTAACTCTACTTAAAGTGGAATCAGAGTCGCCTTCCTAACGACTGAAAACAGACCTGAATTACTGTTTTTTGAAAATATCAGAAAAAGTTTTAAAAATCCTGACAATCTTAAATTTATCCCAAAGTATACATACACAGCAATCTCAAAAATTCCGAATTTATCTCATAAAGCTTACTGCAAAATAAAAATATCCAGAAAACCATATTCATTATTATTTATGCAGCCATTAAGGTTACATTACCTTTTGGAGAACATCTAAAGCTGTGAGTACAGCTTCCTGTAAACTTGTTAGGACTGCTTCAGTATAAGATGGAAGGATGAAGGGGGACGCATCTGAACTTATTGGGACTGAAACAGCACTGTGCAATATGACTCCCAACTTGTGTAAATCATCCATGTTGAAGCCAGCTTTTATGTGCTGGTAGAGAGCTGGGAAAATCTGAATTAAAGCTGTGAGAAAAGGCTGGCTGGGAATAAAGGTTAGCTTATCAAAAGTAATTGGTGGCTTTGTGCTTTCAGAACCAATTCTATACCAGGCATTCCAGGCAGCCCACCAGAGGCTCAAATCTTCCAGCTCATCAGTCACTACGGGCGGCTCAGAACTGTATCTACCAAGCTTGTCTCCAATGGAATCTGTTCTTACAAATGGCCTGTTGAGGCCTGGGCCTGAAATGCTTCCTATAAGGACAGGCACAGGCATATTAACCACAGGCGGTGTCTCGGGCTTCTCTGTGTCTCTGATAGGAGACACAATCTGCAAGATTTCCTGGAAGCTCTTCAGAGCCGCCAAGGACACTTCATTGTTTTTGCTGAGTGCAGCTGACTGAATGTGGTCAAGAAGAACGTCCCAAGCTCTTGAAAAGTCTCCTGTGTCAAGAAAAGGGGAGGGGTAGCCAATTAACATAAAAATGACCATTCTCTTAGACTCTTTGGGGCATATTTGCTTTATTTTCTGCTTAGATTGACATCAAATTCAACAGAATGTAATTAGGTTCTAAGGTACTGAAACCATGAACTAGGGGCTGGCAAGATGGCTCAGAAAAAAAGGCATTTGCCACTCAAGCCTCACACTGACTTCCATCCCCAGAACCACAAAGCCTGCTGGGTAGCTCATCACTATACCCTTGAAGGCTTGTCCAAAAAATATAGACATTATTCTTCCCTCAATGAAATGAACATGAATCCACCACACATAAAGGCTATGATTAAGACTGATTATTCTTGGGAGGTAGTACTATATATCAAGTCCAAAAGAATTTTCTATGTGTGTTCCAAATCTGTTTTAACATAACTGACTTATGTAACCGGAACAAGAAAACATTTATATACCTAATGGCTGCAGCAAGTATCTCCTGGTATTGAAGATTCTCGCCACTCCAGCCAACGTCAAGACCCATGTCTCAGCCCACTGTTTTTCTGCTGTGTCTCTTGAGTGATGAATTAAAATATTTCCACCCCCAGATTCAATCTTCTCTTTGTCTGCAGTTGTAGAAGACTCTCGAACTCGGTCCAATAGATGAAAGAGTACCTAGATATTTATTGAAGGTCATAAAAAGGTCATTGGTGACATAGCTTAAGTAATGGCAAAGAAACTAGAAGTTATAAAAATATGTAGCGATTTTATGAATCTACATCAATTAGAGGAAACTAAAACAGGCAACCATGTATTCTTAAACCTATTCTGTAGGTCACAGAATACGAAAAAGTAAAACTAACTGGACACAACATCAGCAGAACATCTATGGATACTACTTGAGACAAGGATGCAGGTCCAAGCAAAAAATATTATGGAGTTGTCGAGATTGAGCTTAGGCTAATGATCAAAGTGTTGGAAAATCAACCAGCAAGCAAAAGTTAGTTGGCACTTAGTGAATGTCTGTGCTTAAAAGAACAAATGGGATGGGGGTAGGGGTGGGGCACCGAACAGAGGAGCAGAGCACGCCTGCTTTATGAAGCAGAAAACGTCAAAGGGAAGAAACAATGTTAGACACCAAGTCCTGGGTTCAATTCCCAGCACAGCAACAAGAAAGACAGGAAGGACAGAGGAGAAGACAGAAGTGGAAGGAGGATGAAAGCTGTTACATGCTGCTGTAAGGAACTGGTGATGTTGCTTCATCAGGGAGAACAGAGTGGAGGAGGGAATGGAGGCAGAAATCTCTAGTCTCGGTGTGTGCCTCAATGCCCAGGCACACACACACACACACACACACACACACACACACACACACACAGTAAAAGTGATGACAAAGGCATGGGAATGATTTAAAGGATTTAAAAAGCCAACACATATAATATAAAAGCACATGTCAACTAAAAGCCACCAGTCCAAAGCACCTCCCAGTACCTTCCAGATGACCGTGTGCCAGGTGGAATGCTGCAGTAAGGTCCCATGTGCACCAATTGTAGAAAACAGTGTCTGCCCTGCACTCTTCCTCACAGCGGGGCGAGGGTCCACACAAAGTTCACCCAGTTTTGCATAAAGACACAGCCACAAGCAATCGAACGGTGGTGCAGGGTGGAATGGCCGATTTAGAGACACTCCTTTCTCTTCCGCCTGCTTCTGCTGGGCTGCCTCTTCTTTATTTAACTCTTTTTCGATAGTTTCCCCTCTTTGGAAAAAATAATCTGAAATATTCCACTAAAAGAAAAGTATAAAATATATAACTTTATCCACAAATTTTGTTTAAAACTTCAGAATTGACTCAACTAATAGACTCATTAGTTTCTCTAATTACAAGAAAATGTGGCTAATTATTTTGTCTTAGCATTAACTTTTATTGTCCTGTACTTTCTAATATATAGGATAATGAATTTCAATGTGTTGATATAACATAGCACCTAGTCATTATAATTGTCAACTATAAAACAATATACTACCACCACAACAAAATAATTCCTTAGTGTCATTTAATGTTTTATAATTTCATACAAAAAGAACAGCTGCTATCTTAGCATATATATAAGACTTTATTCTCTGGGATAATGAAGTATGTGAATTAATGATAATGGCCAATGATGGAAACACAGCGGCTCCAACCCTGTGAACATCAATATGAAGTAAAGGAGGGGATAGATGTCTAGCGATAACTATGCCCTGAATTAACCAGCTTCTCTTTGGCAACAAGTTTGCATGTGACAGATCACACTGTCTTCCATGGTCACGGTTTTCACAGAAAAGCACTACTTACCTAATTTGGTAAGAACTGAAAGTTTAATTTTATGGCACTTCTGAGTTATACTAAACATTTAGGAGACTCTAAACAACTGCCTTCAAATAGTACTTAACTTATTTATGAGAGAAATTTAAGTTCAGCTTTATAAACTTTCTGAATCTTAACATACAGGTAAGAGAGTCCAAACAATATCCTTAGATAAATTACAAATATTGGGTGCAGTTCTCTTCATGTGTGCGACTTTGCAATACCTTAACATACTACCTCTATACTCATGAGATAGATATATATATGACTCAAATGTCAATAATTCAATAGCCAACAAGAGCTAGACACAACTAAAGCACACATACACCTGTCTTAAGAGCTTTCCATTATAATATGGTGTCTGTCTCCTTTGTCTAACAGTGGTGTTGACAGAATACAAGTCTATGTAAGTTGTAAACAAAGCAGGGTTACTAAATAGTCTCTCGACAATGTATGTTATTTAAGATGATGACATCTGCACACTAATGTCACATCTTGAGTCTCCTTTATAATGATTTACTATGTTATCTCCCTAAGTCTTCTCCTCATAAACTTTAAAGCTCACTATATCAAACTTGTTTCAAATGTCCTGCTACTGATGGTGCGCTTTCTAGATTATTTAATTGCCCATGGAGAATATGCCTGTTACTTAAAAGCCAGTATAAAATTTCAGAGTCCAGACCACACTTGCAAGCATTCACTACTCACTGCATAATAGTAATTTAAAAAATGGCATCATCATAAGAAAAGTGTTTATACTTACCAATAAGCCTATTGAGGTTAAACTAATATTAAGTTCTTGGTTATGAAGCCCAAAGCTCCCTGCAACATCTACAACTATCTGTAGGCAAGAACATGGCATTGTTGGTAGAAAATCTGTTACAACCAACTGAAGACACTGGAAGGCAGTTCTTATTAATGATTCTCTGAAAACGCAAAAGACACAGAAAATGCACATTTAAAAGAAAGGTGTAAGAAAACACACCTTCCAATAATTTCAACCAAGCAACTTTTATTTCAGAATTTGAACAAGGATGTCCTTCCTGGCTGCAATCCCAGTGCAGTGCTCCTCCATGGTTTCTACTCTAGATCCCACCTTGACTTCATAATGGACGGTGATTGACTGGGATGTGTAAGTCAAAGAAAGCCTTTACTCCTCAGGTTACTTTTGGTCACAGTGTTTATCACAGCAATAGAAAATAAACTAGAACAAATGGTAAATAATGTAAGGGAAATCTATTAACTACTACCTATCAAGCTTTTGATATGTTAGAGTTTCTAAGTATGAACTCATGTTAATTTCATCCTTACAGCCTATATCCTATGATATAAACTACATTGAGTTGAGAAAAATCAACTTCACCTTGATGCAATTTGGTCTTTTCTACTTTAATCATTCCAATATGTTATACTATTTAAGGAAATTTACCCTTACAAATAATTTAATTTTCTCAATAGTTTTATATAAAACTCAATGATAACCACACATGGCAGTGCACGCCTTTAATCACAGCAGTTGGGAGGCAGAGCCCAGTTTGTCTCCAGCATGAGTTCCAGGACAGCCAGGGCTACACGGAGAGACAAATCCTGTCTCCAAAACAAATCTCTTGTTAGTAAGAGAAGACTTGTGATACTGGAGAATTCAGACAAACAAATCTGGTACCTGCTAAATTGCTCCTCTGGTGTTCCATCCTAAATTAGGACCTTGCATCCCTTCAAACGAGCTCTTCCTTCTGTACTCATTTGTTTAATGGCATCATATTCACAAGTTTACCTAAATCAGAGACCTGAGGGCATTCTAGATTGCCATTTCTCCCTTTGCCCACAGAGCCAACCTGTTGAACACCTCAAATAACTCCTTAAGAAAGCGCTTGTCACTTATTCTACACTTGCTACCCTCTTCTTGTGCTCTTGTCACAGTGGTATCTGTCAAAGCATATTTGACTATATCACCCCCCTGTATAAAATCCTAAAGTGCCCCTCAAATACACTCAAGGTAAATGCAAATAGCTTTTAAAGGCACATGAAGTCATTTCTAATTCTGGCTCCACCCCCTACCATTGGAGCTTTGTTTTGTGGTAAAGTACTCTTGTATTCTAAGATAGTGGCATTTGTGTACTCAGAACTACTAACAAGTACAGTATTTGGGATACATTACACACAGAACAAATAGTCATTTTAAAGCAATTTCTTAAGACTTCTTAATATGTGAGGTCCTTTAACTCTATTATAAAAGGTTAGGTTATTTCTATTATAAGATCTTACATCTAATATAAATGTCAGAAAATAGCCAACCTTCTATCCTTTTAAAACTAAAACAATACTTGAGAGTGCCGAGAGCAAACTGGGAGTTGATTATGATAAATCCAGGACATGAGCAGAAAGGCATAAATTAAAATTTTTCACTATAGGACTTTCTCATGTTGGGGTTCCATTTCAAACACTTACCCTTGATCATTTCTGATTGCTCCCATGACTCCAAGAACTAATGGCCACCCAGGCCCAAGACTGTCCCCCTGGCTCTGCAGAATCTGCAACACACATTCTAATTGCTTGAGTCGAATATCTGGGTGGTTAATAGTGGACATCTCCTTTAGTGGGTTCAACAAGAGCAGCTGCAGCCTCTAAAAGAGAACAAGAGCTAACTAGGAAAAGCAGCCCAAAACAGGAGTGTTGTTACAGTTGCCCACCCCCTTTATCTCTTGGCAATGCCATCTCTATGCGCCTAATTGGTCTAGAAATCTTGGGCTCAAGTGACCTTGTGCCTCAGTGTCCTAAGTGCTGGGACTACAGAGTGTGCCAGGTTTCTTCTGTTCCTTGTGAGAGTTCTACTCACCTCCAATCACAATATTTTAGTAAACACAAAGTTTTCTATTAAAAGAACAGACTATGATTTCTCCAGCAGTAATCTTTTAGAAATTTGTCTCTTATCCCTACTTCTAAGTAAAGTAAAGGGGAAAAGCAAACCAAGCTTCAGTATGTAAAATTTCAGGGTAAAAGTGGAGTGACCTTACTTCCTAGACTCACTAGTGATGGACATCACTAAAAGAAATACATCTTAGCCAGGCGGTGGTGGCACACGCCTTTAATCCCAGCATTTGGGAGGCAGAGGCAGGAGGATTTCTGTGAGTTAGAGACCAGCCTGGTCTACAAGAGCTAGTTCCAGGACAGCCTACAAAGCCACAGAGAAACCCTGTCTGGAAAAACAAGCAAAAACAACAACAACAAAAAACAAACACACAAACAAAATACATCTTTAGCAGTATTTTAAGAAAAAAATTTCCAATATCTAGTATTATCTTTCATTTACTTTATTAATATATGGTACGTATTTAAATGTAAAATTCTCAAGTATGATATAATAAGTATAATAGTTTGAAATTATATGCTTTAATAAAAATTATTGGTAAGCCCAAATTTTGTTGGGAAAAAAAGCACTGTGTTTAATTCCTTTCAGCATCTGAAAAGCATTTTATTTTCCTGTTCTTCTCTCCAATTTTTATTTTATGTGGTTAATTTATCCAACAAATATTAAGTTTTCACTGTGTGAATCACAGTGAGCAAACACTGAGGATAATAAAGTGAATAGAAAAAGATCCTAAAATGATTTTATTACTGCTTATTTACTATGTATGAGTGTGTGCCACCTCACGTATGTGGAGGTCAGGACAACTGTGGGAGTCAGCTCACTCCTTGCACCGTGTAGGTCCTGGGGATTGAACTCAGAATTGATGTCAGTCACCTTCACCCCCTGAGCTGTTTTGTCAGACATGGATAGTTTATATATTTCTAAGTCTCAAATCAGAGCCAGGTTTGGTAGCATATGTCCGTAGTTTCACCACTCAGGAGGCAGATGCAGCAGGACTGACAGGTTGAGCCTAGCGGGACTCTATTATAGCAAGACCCTATCTTCAAGCATCACGAGGAGTGGATGCAGCTGAGTGTTGGAGCACTAACAGCCCAGCATGTACAAAGCTGTGGTCCTGTCCCTAGCAGCAAAAGAAGAAACAAAACAAACCCTTCAAGCTGTAACAGAGACAAAAGGACTCGCTGAACTGCCAGCTCCACAAGAGCAGAGGTCTTCCTGTGCTGCCAATCATCCTGTTCTAATGGCTACAGCCAATAATGGCATGCCCAATTCACTGTGGAATACACTCACAAGACATAAGAAGGGGAGCGCTAATGGCTGTTAGTCTTGAAACAATGAAACTTCAGTAGAAAAAGGACAAACTATGTACAAAAGAGAATTCTGAACATACTAAGTCACTAATGGTTTAAAAATAGAATGCTTTACTGGAACTGGGGATACACTTAGTGGGTAAAAGCCTTGCCAACCAGGCATGAGGACCTGAGTTCAGATCCCCAGAACCACATAAAAAGGCAGGCAGGCCCAGCAACCATCTGTATCTACCACTGATGGGGTGGATAGGGCAGGGCGGCTGCCATGGAAAGCTCCAGACTTACTGAACTGTCTCAAAATTGAACAGTGCTAGAGAAAGACATCCAGTGGCCACTACTGGCCTCTGCGACTGACACACAGGAGCACACACACACACACACACTCCCTCCCTCCCTCCCTCCCTCCCTCCCTCTCCCCTCCCCCCTCCCCCCCCTCTCTCTTACACCCAAAAGCCAGTGTGAGAGTAGTGAGAGAAACGGGTCATAGATGGCCAGGATTAGATAGCAGAGGAGGCCCTAGACAGAAACCTCAGTGCCGCCTGAAGAGGGCAGCCTGCAGACCAGAGGACAACGCCAGGGGATTTGTGCACTCCGTTCAGCACCACTGAAATGTTTCTATGAAGCCCATCCTAAAACTGTTAGCATTAATAAGCAGTCCACAGCCTACAAGTAAAATAGAATCTTGATTGCTAAGGGATTCTGTTTTAGATACTGGCTTGGTGGCATACTCCATAAGATCCCAGGACTTGGGAGGTGAGGACAGGAAGCCCAAGAAATCAAGGTCATCCTTGCTGTAAAGGAAGGCCAGCCTGGGTACGTAAGACCCTGTCTCACAAAAGATTTATACTATGGTATCATGAAACAACACTGACATGAAAAGATTTATACTAGAGCATCATGAGATGGCACTGATAGAAAAGAAGATCTATACTAGGGTACCATGAGATGATACTGACATGAAACTCCACCTGTGAGTGATGGCCAAGTGCTCTTTTTACCTGGTTCTGGGAGAGTGGCGGCTCGTGGTTAAATGTCAGCCCTGCTTTAATGAGGGATGTCAGGGCTTCTGCTCCCCATTCCCTCATTCGAGAGTTTGGATGCTGGCACACCTGAAGAAACACGTGTTCAGTAAAATTACTATATTTAATTGTAAACATAAGGTAAGAAACATGCATTAACCTGAGGACAGAGAAAACAATACTGTATTACAGCTTTTGGGTTTTTGTTTTTGTTTTTTACAACTTAAAAATATACATTTAGTAAAGAGTAAGAGAAAACTTTCTGGAAGCTTACCTTCTGAATAAAGGCAAGGGGGAGGCAATAGAGAAAAAGACAAAAGACAAAAGATGAAACTGGAACCAGTCACAAGAAAGGAAGGGTTCCATGATTGGAGGAATATATATGTCACCAGAGGAAACAGAAGCAAGCTTACCTTAAGGGGTTGTTGTTACTATAGCTGTTGCTGCCCCCCACCCCCCCCAGTCCCCCACCCCCCTGCCTGGAGCTAGGAAATGAACCCAGGGCTTCAACATTTGATACATCACAGTCCAGTTTATGGCACACTATCTTGAGCCCAATCTCATCTGACAAGACGGTTTAATCACAGAGAAAGCTGCACATATCCTTTATTAATAAATGTAATGCCAATAAAATGGGTAAAATTTTAGGAAGAACAGTTCTTTCTCAGGTTTCTAAAAATGACATTAAATGACTATGGTCCCCAAACTACACACAAACATACGGACCAACAGAAGCAGCTGGAGGTAAATACCAGCTACTTTATCAAGGGACCAAGCTGAAGAACAGATGTATCTAGATAAAATTCTCTCACTATCTATGATTCAGTGGCAGCAAAACAGATTCTTTTCTCTCACGATACCTCTACTGCTGCAAACTTGTGAACAACTCACTCTCATCCCAAACTGCTCAAAATTGAAAAATACCTGAAATTGAGGTGAATCAAGAGACTGATCAAAGGAAACAGTTCCTAGCAGATAGCTGATATCTTTGCTATTTCACAGATTAAAATTTTACCCATTTTTATTTGGTAAACCTTTCCTCAAGCTCATTACTATACAACTACAGTCCTTAAAATACAAGGGTCAAGAGGAGGGGAAAGTCATTTTGTCACTATATTGAATCATAAGCTCAATGTACATGCCTTTATCAGTAAAAATATATAGTATTTAAGAAAGACTGTTCACCTCAAGTAGATGGCCAGTTAGAGGTCTCCATAAAATTTCTATTCTGTGCATATTAACCAGACCAGTTTCTAATAGTTTGGCAACAGCAAAAAGAGATGGTTCCTAAGGAGGAAACATATTATATTTTGATATGCGAAAGAGAATTCTGAGATCTTACTGTGAATAAAATAGAATGTTATTATGGTTAAATTATGATTAGTCTATATATGTAAAGTTAGCAGTATATAATAGAACCTATTATCATAAGACAAGACTTTTGCCACCCTGAAACAGCTACTAAAGTTACTCCAAAATTATATTGGAACAAAGTGTGAATAAGTTACAGATCTTAAAGACCTACAAATCCAATTAAAAAAATTCTATACTAATATTTTATGGTACTGAAAACATTTGCAACATGAAAATGTTTCACAGTGTCTCCTCCTTCCCTAATAGAAGCTGTAAATTAAGTTACACTGGGATTTTAAGACAATTGTGTCATGAGCTAGCCTATAGGCACCCTAAGATATATGGTAGAAAATTTATGTTAATGGAGAAATACAGCAGAAGATTAAGACTGACATCGACAAAGTTTTAAATGCATCTTGATTAGGCCACTGAACAGCTACATAACTTATGCAGAGTACAGTATCTACTGAAGTTTTTAATGTGTGAAATGGAGATAATAGTATATAAACTAGATCTTGTCAGAAGGCACATGGTAAAAGTCAGTCTCCCCAAGGGACAACTCTCTAGGAGTAGTCTCCTTCCTCTTCATGAAACGGGGTACACACAATTAAAAGAACATTTAGATGTACTGGATTCACACCTGAAGGTTTCTTTCAAAAAGCTTTAATTAAAGTTCCACGAGTTTTATATTCTACTCAAATACTGCAATAAATTAATCATGTAAGAATATGAAACTTAAAAAAATTTAGGTTTAGATTTGTCCTTCAAATACAAGATGAAACATAAATCTCAAAAAAAAAGCAAAAACAGCCGGGCAGTGGTGGCACACGTCTTTAATCCCACCACTCAGGATGCAGAGGCACACGGATCTCTGTGGGTTTGAGACCAGCCTGGTCTACAAGAGCTAGTTCCAAGATAGCCTCCAAAGCCACAGAGAAACATGTCTCAAAAAAACAAAAAACAAAACAAAACAAAAAACAGCAACAAAACAAAAACAAAAACATGGTCATTTATATTATACATGAAACTGGCCTTTTATAAATCAGTCTGCCTTGCCACTTAAACTGATGCACTTCATTCTGAGTAGTAAGCATCCTTAAGATCTGAGGATTCTTGCCAGGCAGTGGTGGTGCACACCTTTAATCCCAGCACTCAGGAGGGAGAGGCAGATGGATCTCTGTGAGTTCAAGGCCAATCCGGTCTACAGAGTGAGTTCCAGGACAACAAGGGCTGTTATACAGAGAAACCCTGTCTCAAAAAACAAAACAAAGGATTTGCAGCTTCCAAGAACTCTACCAAACCCACTGGGAAGAAAGACTAGGGACATAGTCCAGCAGAAAAGGGAACAAAAACATCTTGTCCATGGAGAACATTCTAAAGTCTATCATATCATCATTTATATTTTATAATATTTATACTTGAACATTACTTTGTGCTGGGAACAGAACCCAGGACTCTGACTTAAAAATTTTATAAAACGTTTTCATTCCATAGTCACCAACTCACTTCTAAACTAGAAATCTCTTCTTTTTATCTCATAGTCAAATATCATACATGTAAATAAGCATGCTGTGTCTATCAAATGGATACAAGTAAACTGACAGTGCTTTGTAAATTGTATTTCATTTAGTAGTCTATTAAGATATTATAGTTTTGTATTGAGATTTAATCTCAAAATGTAACATTTTTTGAGATATCAATAAACTGATTAGTTTACTATTGCATTTAATGTTATTCTTGCCTGGATTTGAAACAAATAATAATACATATTTTCAAACACCTGAGTGTTCATATAATTAACTAGATATATGAAACATAAAACCATACTCCAGTAAGAATGTTTGTTTTCTTTATTTCTATTTTTGTATGTATATGGGTACTTTGCCTGCATATATATCTGTTCACCATGTGAATGCAATGCCCAAGGAAGGCTAGAAAAGTGAGTTTTGATCCCATATGGAGTTAAGGTGGCTGTGAGCGCCACATGGGTGCTAGGAAACAAATCTGGGCCCTCTGGAAGAGCAGCCAGTGCTCTTAACCTCTGAGTACCTCTCTAGTACCTAGTGAGAACAGTTGCTTGCTTGTTTTATGGTGTCTCGTGTAGTCCAGGCTGGCGTGGACTTCATAAAGAGTTAACTATGACCTTGAGCTTCTGATCTTGGGGCCTGCATTGCCCAAAGTACAGGATTATAGGTGTGCATTGCCAGTATCTGCTTTTATGTGATGCCAAAGATTGAGTCCGGGGTCTCATGTACACAAGGCCAGCACTCTACCAACTGAGCTACTATTCAGCTCCAGGAAGAGACCAGAAGAGTCACATAAACCATGATGACAAGCCACAGAGCACAGATAATTAACAACTTTGGAGACAACATACAGCTATTATTTAAAAGCTGAATTGTCTTCATATATATTTGGAAGTGATCTCTCTACATATCTTTAAATGCAGAAAAGTGGCTGGAGAGATGTCTGGCTGCTCCTGCAAAGGACTAGAGTTCAGGTCCTAGAACCCACACTGGTGGTTCACACCTGATAAACCAGGGGATCTAATGCCTTCTGACCTCCAAGGGCACCTGAACACACACACACACACACACACACACACACACACACACACACACACACACACACAATTTTTAAGGCGTATAAAGGACTCCATCCTGTTTTTACAGTGCTAGGACCACACACCCATTAGACAAGCACTGAGTCACACGCCCAATAGACAAGCACTGTGAGTCACTCTCTCAGGTAAAATTTCTTGTTTTCCAATTCACTTTTTCTGTATTTATTTTTGTGGTGATGGAAGCCAAGGCCTCCTACAGTGTAGGCAAGTACTTTATTACTAAATGCCAGTAGCCTCAAACACAGTTCATTTAAAATAATCATTTCTAAAATGTGATTATGTTCAAATTTCCCTGTGCTTGACAAATGTTAGAGAAAATATTTTGAGTATAGACAGGGATGTTCTTATCAGAAGTACTGTTCTACACTTACCTGATGAGGGAGACAGAGTCCTAGTCTACTTACTCAGTTAACAGACAGTGAAAAGGGTTAATTGCAAGTGAGGAGAATCACTGCAGTCAGAAGGACACAATGAGCCTCTAACTTTCCATCCAATGAAGGCAGCACAGCACAGTCACCCAAATCTGCCACACACTTTCCCTAACTATGATCTTGCATCATCCAAATCATAAATGTCAAATACAAATAAATACTATCAACATATTTTATGAAAGCTAGTTATAAGAACTGTTATATTATTTATAGAATGTTAAGAATATTCAGCACAAGAAAAAAAGGGACATAATTTTAAATTGCACCGCACACTTAGACAAATCCCGAGCTACATCACGCCCTCTTTATTCCTCCTCCTACAAATGGTAAACACTGACAATTCACTGTTGCCAGTCAAACACTAAGGCCACTTAGACACCTTGAATAACTAAAGAGAAATGTAAATTACCACACCTTGTTATTTCCATAGGCCATATCCATTGCTTCTAGAGATAAGGAACAAAGTGCATTTATTAAATGATGCAAAGATACGTCATCAAGATACCTAAAATGAAAATGAAAAAGACAATTTCATCTCAAATATACAGCTAAGAACAATGTGGCTGTCAATTTAAAACACAGACTTACTGTGAGCTTTCAAAGAGTCTTGAGAGTATGTTGGAAATCACTGGCAAATCTGTCATCACTGCTGTTGTCAGAACCTAAAGGAAGGATGAAGTCAACTGTAAAGTGTGACATTTTAAGAAGTGCCCACTGGACAGGAAGGACTGTCACTTACTGTACTGGGTCCTTCTACAGCTCTTCCCGGCTTCAAGGCACCACCACCACTCGGCTTTAGTCCCAGAATCCACACAAGATGCTGAGAATTAAAACAAAGTTATAAAACTACAAAAAAAAAAACCTAATAAAATCAGTGGTAATATCTAGCAATAAAAATTACAATCAGTCATTTCTTATAACTAAAATGAAAATAATTGGCACCATTCATATAAAATAATTATAGCATGCTGAAGTAGTAGAATTTAGGGTATTATAAGTAGTCCTAAAATAGAAGCCACTTGTTTTACTCCTTCTCATCATCTCTTTTTTCATACTATTTATTAGGCCTGCCTAAAGGACCAACAGGCATTGTTTCATTGCTAGCAGTCATAAATCTAGAATCTGATGCTACAACATACCTGCAGAGTTGCCAGCACGAGTTGCCACGATGTTCCGAGCACAGCACCGTGACAGTGAGCCAAGTTAAGTAGTGTCCTCATGCACTGGATGTTTTTGGAAGTTAGCTGCGGTGGAAAGAAACAGATTGGCAGCTGCTGTTGTAGAGTCTTACAAATCACAAGCTTACAAGTCAGCAAGAATGCACTCACACATCTTCTTAAGTAAGTTTGGATGGTTCTATAAAACACAAACTTGCTTAATTAAAAGTTGTGTTACTAGAGCTGGGCAGGTGGTTCATTGAGTAAGACGTATACCATGTAAGTGTGAGGGCTGGAGTTCAGATTCCCATAGCCCACATACATTTTAGGAGGACATGGTGACTTGTCTGTAACCCCAGCCATTGGGGGGGTGGAGACAGGGCAACCTAGACTAGCAGAAGAGTTCCTCATTCAAGAGTTAGAAACCCTGCATCAGTAGGCCATGTGGGGCAGCAGAGGAAGACAGCAGATGATGATCTCTGGATTCTACACACATGTACACACTCACTGGCCTACACAAAGTGCCGAGACACACACACACACAGTGAATGCACACCACATAAAAGAAGTTGTATTATTACACTGATTATGATAATGTCAACAAGTTTGTTCTGAAACATCCTCTAGGTAAAAGAAACTAAGTAAGTAATAACATTTGAGAAGTAAAAAAAAAAAAAAAAAAAAAGAGCACAACAAGTGTCACTAGTCATTCATTGGTAACCAAATTAATCCCAGCATCCTAGTTGCATTACCATTACTGTTCCTTGAGGCTGGACTGCCAGGGGCTGACCCACTGCCACAACTTGCTGGTGGGACTCACTGGACGGACTTATCATCATGACACTGTGGCCCTGGATAGAATATGCTAGAATACAAAGGAAAGCCTGTATGTAAGACACTGCTTCAGTTCTCTCAGGGTAATGTTGTATTGTAAAATAAAGTTCAATAGCAACAATTAAATGGCAGTACTATTCATCCAGATACATGCAAACAACTGAAAACCTATAAGGTGCAAACACCAAAAGAAGCAAATATGAAGTAATTTTCTATATAAATTGTTAAAATAACTCATTTATAAGCAAAACAGAATTAGGACATAAAAAGTATTTTAAACATATATCTATATATACTTTTCTAGTTAGAGGCAAATGCATTTTGAGTGTGAAATCTGAGTGTTACATTGAAATACACACACACACACTTTTTCTCTCCCTCTTTTTCTCTGTCTCTCTCTGTGTGTCTCTGTCTCTCTCTCTCTCTCTCTCTGTCTCTCTCTCACACTAAATGCAATAAAATGCAAAAAATAATAGTGTTTTCCAAGAAAATAAGTTTTTGAATGTAAATTTAAGGTCTACTAGGCCAAATAGAAAAACAGCAATCATCATTTCAACAAGGTATTATAGTTTGTAAAGGAACGCCAGAATTATAATACTTTATCTGCATAATTATTACTTAAAATCACTATCACTAGATTCTTCCTCTCTCCACCTTTTTCAGGGAAGAGCAGAAAAGAGATGTCCGCTATGTGGCTATACTAGGAAGAGAAACAAGGAGGTCCAATGATGGTAAGTCCCATCTTCTCTCTTCACTTTTAAAGAGATGAAAGAACTGTTTGAGCCTGATGGTGGTGGCACACACCTGTTGTCCCAGCACTCAGGAGGCAGAGGCAGAGGCAGAGGCAGGAGGATCTCTGAGGTCGAGGCCAGCCTGGTCTACAGAGAGTTCCAGGACAGCCAGCCAGCACTGTCACACAGAGAAGCCCTTCAAGGAGGCGGGGTAGGAAGAACTGTTTTAAAGAGGTGGATAGAACGGAAAGGCAGGAGAGTATCTGCCTGGAGGTAACACAAGCAGTGCATAGACAGCAGAGGCCTGGACTCAGAGTGCCTGTCATCCTTTCTCCGTGCTATCATCCACTAGGCAGAGAGAAAGCTGTGCCCTTTAACCTCACATTTATTGCAAAGTGTAGCTGCGGTGGTGGCGTTGAGCACGGTCAGAGCATAATGCGGAGGCAAGGACCCTTTGCAGATTGCGGTGATGAAAGCATCCCTTGATGTCACGAGGCCCAGTCTTCCACACAGAGCAGCCATAGTCAGTTCAGCTTTCAAAATATTCTCAGTGGCAGCCTCATCTGTGCTGAAAAGATAAGGCATTTTGTTTATCTGATTAATTTATTTTAAGTTACACTTTAAAACAAGATGTGGGCGTACATATTCCATGAGGTTTCAAGAAAAGCTAAAACCGATCTATTTAGGATGGAACTTTAACCAATTAATCTAATATCTAAAAAAAAAACCAAAACTATATACTGGAATGCACATACATAGTTGGAAAAAACACCAGGAACTTAAAGATTAAACTGCAAATATCAAGCATTTGTTTTTAGACAGGGTGTGTAGTCCAAGTTGGTCTCAAACTCACTGCAATTCACCTTCCTCAGCCTTCTGAGTACAGAGATTACAGGCATGAACCACCACCACACTTGGTATCAAACACCTTAAAATCAGTTAATGCTGAGGAGAAACATCCAGAAAATTATCACCACTGCAGAAGCAGTGGTGAGGTGTGACAGGATACAAGTGTTCCTTAATTTGAAATGCATTTTTGATTAAAGCATTGTGACAATTTCAGCGGGAGTTCAAGCACACATGGGCTCCAGGAGGGAGTGACAAAGAGCAACGTTCTTAAAGAAATGCTAAGGTGATGTCAATGTTAATCACTCTAATTACATCATGACAGTGTGCACATGAATTATAATACTGGATGTGAAATTAAAAATGAGCAACAAAGTTCTAAACATACAGAAAACTACAGGTAGGACATAAGTTCTTCGAACAAATGGAAACAAATTTAGTGTTGGTTTTAAGTGCAATGACATAATATAAAACTTACAAAGACTTAATACCTGGCATCTAGAAGGAGTGAGAGGGCAGCAAGAAGACCACACCAGCAAGCGCTCACCATCTCTTCCCAAACGGCTCTACTAACTTCAAAGGAAACACAACACTTAATCATGTTACACCTGCTACAATGAACTGTAATCTATAAAATTCAAATATTCTAGTAACAACTCAATTATTAGACATCAAACACTAATATTTAAAATACCCAAATAATGAACATGTAGTAAAAGTTGTGATAGCTTCATAATAAAAAGTCTTAAAGTTAAGTTGTTTTAAAACATGTATTATATCTCAGTTAACTAGAACCTTTTTTAAAGCTTTATTTATTAAGTTTAGTGTTCTGCCTGCATGTATCACTGCAGGCCAGAAGAGGGCACCAGATCTCATTACAGATGGTTGTGAGCCACTATGTGGTTACTGAGAATTGAACTCTGTAAGAGCAGTCAGTGCTCTTAACTCCTGAGTCATCTCTCCAACCCAACTAATACCGTTATAAAAATACACAATGCCACTTCTGCTCCTTAACCCTTCAAAAGGCCACATTGTCCGCCTGTGTGATTAACTGGAAACTAGTGCAGACTACCATCTAAAACATTTGCTCAGCTAGAATACTGTTGTATCTTCTGAGAATCAACAAGTAGATAAACACATGAACCAAATGGCACTGGGCACTGCTGTGGGATAGGCCTTCTGTACTGTGAATATGTATCCTCTCATTGGTTGATAATAAAGCTGAATTGGTCTATAGCCAAGAAGAAGGTAGGCAGGAAAGACAATGGAGATACAGAAAGGGGGGGAAGAGAAGGAGAGGGGGGGAAGAGAGATGCAATCAGCGGCTGGGGAAGTAAGATGGTAGAGGACAGTTAAAGCCATAAACTACATGGTAATACACAGATGAATAAAAATGGGTTAATTTAACTGTAGGAGCTAGTTAGTAATGAGCCTGATGATAGGCCAAATATTTTGTTAATTAATATAAGCTTTTGTGTGTTTATTTGGGACTGGGACAAAAGGAAAGCGCTGCCTCTGTTTACAGGGTACCTCACTGTTGGAGATGGGATATACAAATATGTAAAGTTAAAATTGACCTCGTGAAATGAATGAGGACTAGAGAAGCTGGGGTGATGTTTTTAGTATAAGGAGCAAATATTTTCAAATCCAGACTTGAAGTATGTGTGCCCCTTCGCCAAGTGGCAAGAAGCACGCCTAGTAACCGTGTCAGTCTTAATATTATCTGCCAGGGCTCCTTGAAAAGCTGACTGACACCTGGGTTGGACAAACCACATGTCGGGTTAAACTGTAAGGGTACCAAGAGAGAATGGGAAATGTCAGAACACGGCCCAGCTTCAAAGTCTCACACCAAACATGATGGCCATGGGTGACAATTCCTTGGAGTCAATAGAAATCCAGTTTTATTCAAAAGTGAGCATCTCCAAAAATGACACAAACTGATATTTTTGCTTCCTCACATATTAATAAATCAAATCAGCAGCTAAATTAAACATAGTAATTGCCCTGAGCTAATCTTAGAAATAAATAAACCAATTTGGGATATAGCCTTCTAAAAATGTCAAGGTCATATAAAACAAAACCTGAAGAACTGTGTCCTACATTGCAGGAAAACATCCATATACAGCAATAAGTTCAACAAACAAGGGACTACAAGGAAAACCACTGGGACAACTGGAAAAATCTGAAAAAGATCTGGGCTTAGATGAAATATTGGATTGACCCTAATTTCTGCTGGTAACTACGTCACAACAGGGAAGGCTATAGTCAGTTTTAGAAATACACATCTAACCATTAAAGGGTAGTGGGACATCCTCTCTAGAAAAATCTCAAATAGTTCAGAAAAAAAAGATAGTGATACATATTCAAGTAAGGAGAAAGGTAAGATCAACATGATACAGTGTTAATAACTGGGAAACAAGGGTAAATGCTAACACAAGAGCATTTCAGACTATTGAAAGGCATCAGTGACAGAGAATCATGGCATACCTGTCTCCTTCTCCACCTGATCTGACACTGACTGCTCGTCGTGCTGTTCTGATGACTGTGAGTTTGATCCTTCAGTGACTGTAGGACACTCGGTTTCAACCTCTCCTAACTCTCCTTCTATCATGGTGGTGATTCCACGGACAAGATCCAATAGACAGTGGAACGCTACAGACATGGCATAGCCCTCTGGTATAGTTGGGGGTTCAACCTTGTCCAGCATCTCTAGGCTGAAATCATGAAAAATTAAGGCACTAATGAGAAGATAAAGGAAAGAAAACATAGGAAGCTATTTCCATAATTTGTAGACAGGAGCTTGTCTCATTCAAAGAAGGGTCCCTCTGAAGTATCTTAAACTGATTAGAAGGGCTGGAGAGAGGACACAGTGGATAAAAGACGCTTGCTGCCACGCCTGAGATTCTGAGTTTGATCCCTGGACCCCTGTGATGGAGGAGGAAACTGACTCCTGAAAGCTGCCCTCCAATCTCCACATGTGTGACATGGTACACACACGTTTTAATGTAAAAAACTGATTACAAAAATGAAGACCTGGCTGCTACCACAGCTTCACCTTGAGATGTATCTATATCTTCACTATTTTTTGATATGAGAAATATAAAAACTAACATAAAATATATTAAGACAGATTACAATGCTTCTCAAACTCTTTACTTAAAATAAAGTGCATAAAAGATAAAATAATAAAATGAGCTACAAAGAGAAAGATGATTTTACATCAGAGAAAACAAAAGTGAGCTACCCAGATGTCATGTGACCTCAGAGACAGTCAGCCAACAGTACAAGTAACACTGAGGGACATCTGCGTTGAATTCAGAGCTATTAGACAGGAGAAAGTGTTCAGAGGGCAAGACAATAAATCTTATGTTCTAAATGGGACAAACGAAGAATTATGGTTCTGAATCCCTCCAAATGGCTATTTCTCAAGCTAACAATACAAAGAATAATTCAACTGAAAAGAATTAATGGTATTGGGATAATTATATTTTCATCTAAAGAGAGATGTTAGACCCCATCTCTTGTATATAAAACTAGTTCAAAATAAATCAATGACCTAAATAGAAAAGAAATTACAAAGCTTGTAGAGGCAGACATACATCTTCATGATAGACAATGCAACAGTTTGTTAGATACAATGCAACAGTTTGTTAGATACAATATCAAAAACACAATTTAAAAGTAAGTGAAATGACTCCGGCAACCTTTAAAACCACTGTGCTCCACAATCAGTAGCAAGAACAGCAGCAGCTTCTGCAAACCTGTGTATGAGAGAGACCTAAAACGCATGCCCTTCTAGTATGTTCTTGCTGCTGTAATAAAACACGATAACTGGAAATAACGTGAGGAGAAAAAGACCTCACTGGTTTCCTAAATATTAAAAATAATTTTTCTTACATGTAGAGTCCTGAAACTTAGCTATATGACTTCCACCTCATAGATTGGAGAAATTAGTTTAAACAAAGATGAATTTGCCAAAGGAAATTCAATTCTAGAAGAACTATGTCCAAAAGGTCTAAAAACCAAGCCATTTACTTAACTAAGAAGCTACTTGGACAATTGAGTCAATTCTTAGGTAAATAAATCATAGTTTTGCTTTAAAATGCTACTAAGAGCCTGCAAATACAAGAAAACAAAATTTATTACTCACTAAAATTCTTAGAATGTGACAAAAAAAGTAAGCTCCAAACTATATTAACATTAAATATAATCCAGACAGAAGTATTTTAAATGTCATCTTCAGTGGTATTATTTATTATAGAACAATGTTGCTACTACTCACTAGGTGGCTTTCGCACTGCCTTGAACTGTAATAGTCAGGATAGGTATCCAAGTTCCTCTGTATTCAAATGCTGGTAGTAGAGTAACACCTCCACCAATCCCCACCATTCCTGAGCTGGCTGGTGCTGAGACTGGGCCACCAACATTATTGTTTCCTATCAGATAAGGAGGAATAGTAAAGACAACAATGTATTAGTTATTATCAATACAAGTCAATACATTCCAACTCAGACTTGAAGACCCTGTGCTATCAAAACAAGTGTGACACCTATAAATGACTTTTCTAATTCTCGTTTACTCAGAGCACCTATTCCTTTAAAATATTACTTCATTTTTTAAATATAAAAATCACTAGAGAGCCTAGGCAGATAGCTCTATTGGCAAAGCATTTGTCACACAAGCATGGGGACCCAAGTTTGTCCCCAGTACCACATAAGATTTATACAAATCTCAAACAGTGGAAATTAGTTTATACTGAACCTCACAGTAAATGAACAAAACCCAGCAACTCAAAGGAGAAGCTCCAATAGGAATAAACTGATGGATATGCCTGAGTTCGCTCCCCAATACACACACAAAAAAAACCTGGACTTGGTGATACACATCTGCAGTCCCAGCAGTAGGAGGCAGAAATAGGCAGATCCCAGTGGCCCACCAGCCCCGTCTACTCAAAGAGCCTCAGGTCCCAGTGAGAGGGCTGTCTCAAAATACAAGGTGGACAGTTCTGGAAAATGACAACCAAGGTTGACCTCTGGCCTACACACACACACACACACACACACACCAGCCTATGCCTGCACATATATGAACACATACAGAGTTATAAGAACAGACAAAGCCACAAATTTTTAAAACTTTATTTTCACCTTCCATAAGAGGTCTTATATAAAGAGTTAAAAGGCTATTCATCAGGTATATCAAAGTCATAGTCAAAGACGATAAACGAAACAAGAAGCTATATACTGATTTCCAAAAAATTGAAATCATGTGAGTCAGTTTCTATTAAGATATTAAGACCTCCCAAAGAGTAAATGTCTACACTCTTTTAAAGAATTCAACAAAGACTTTTTCTAAAATGAAGACTAAAAACATTCGCCCTTGTATAATCAGAGGAAATAAAAGTATATCAGACAGAAAAATCTATTAGAAAAAATAGTTTGTCGTGGTAGGGTCAAATTATTCTTTAATATTGAAAAAATCTTTACTCTCAATATACTCAGGTGTTCTAAGTTTATGTAGGCACAAGATTTCTCTCCTAACAGTGAGTACTGTAAACCGACGGGAAAAACGAAGACAAATCTGAATACAACATTACCAGCTTGGTTGGCTATGGCAGGGTTTCCAGTAGGAGGGACGAGAAACAAAGACTGGATAAAGGAGCCCAGTGCATTCACAATGTCTCGGAAAACCTTGGTGGAATGCTGCTTCATGTCATACGACTGACAAAATGACCTGCAAAGTAATTTTAAACATTTATGGGAAAAGAACTTTAATGTATTATATTATTCACAATTTAAAAGCAAATAATACTGCTTAGCAGTTACAGTTCCATATTTAGTGTCATTTATCACACCTGAGTGGTTTCTCTAACTTGGGTTAGAGACAAAGGTTTGAATTCAAGTCAAGTCAAAACAAAACAACAACAAAAAGAAAAGTCTTATTGGCTGTATTTGCCTAGTAAATCATGTCAGCATTTGTCACCCAGGTGTCTGACCTCTCCCAGTTCTTTCCCCAGCGTCTACCTGGTGCTGTCACACACAAACACCATTTTCTTGGATAAGCATCACTAATACTTATGAATAGATCCTCAGCTCTTCCCAACTCAGCACAGTTATTGAGCTTGCCAGCTAACAGAACATTGTTGTGGCCTTACCTTAATAACTGAGGCTGCACACAGAGCCTGTGTATCGATTCCACTGCAACAGCTCGCAGCCACTGTGGTTTATCTGCATCCAGAAACTTCACCAGAAGAGACAGAAATATTTCACACTCAGTTACCTAAAAAAAGAACAGGATTTTTAAACACTTGGTTGAGTCAAAAAGAAATGATAATAATGTTGTCAAATCATGTTATGAGTAACTGGGATAAAATGGAGAAGGAGAGGAGTTCGCTGAAAACAACACAGCTTCTCTAACTGAGGACCTGCTAGACAGATGTGCTGTCTCTAACCCTTACTTTTGGAAAACATGGCACACCATGCTCTTGCCTCTCTAGTCCTATGAACTGTTCACAGATGTGCGGTCTGCCCTGCGGTAATACTCTACATGTTTATACAACTGGATGTCTAAAAAACAAAGGGACAATTTGTTGTGATAATGCAAGTCTATAATCCCAGCACTCAGGAAGGAGGAGTAGGAGCTAGCCTGGGCTACAACAGCAAGGTCTGTCTCAAAAAACAAAAGAGAACAGAAACACAATGAGAAATGTGCAGCAGCTGAGGGACACACAGACACAGGCAGGTGAAGCACTTAGCACAGGGCCTGGTGCTACTACACTGAGCATAGGTTCTCACTGCTGCTAGTAACACACTTTTTCTTTTCTAATTTTATATATGCAAGTGTGTTACTTGCATGTATATCTGTGCACCACATGCATGCATGCATGCTGTCTGTGGTAGTCAGAAGTGTGCATCGGATCCACTGGAATTAGAGTTATAGAAAATTGTGAGCTCCCACGTAGAAGCTGCAAACTGAGTCATCTCTCCAGCCCCAATGTAGACTTTATCCTTAACAACTTCTTTATATAGTAATATGGCGAAAGCACACCATGCATTGATGGGGGAAATTCTTCCATGTATGTGTTTGTCTTATTGGTTGATAAAGCACTGTTGGCCAACAGGGAAACAAGATAGGTGGGACTTGGAGTTGAGGAGGATTCTGGGAAATGTAGTAAAGAGTAGAAAGTCATCATGTGATCCCGGGAAGAGAAGACACATGAGGCTGGCGTCCTAAGTAAGATAAGACCTTATAGAAATATATATATATATATAAGTGGTTATGGGTTAATACTTAAGACAGAAATAGCCAATGAGAAGCCCCGGACATTGGCTGACAGCTTTGTAATTAATAGAGTCTCTGTGTGTTATTTGGGGTTGATGAGGCTCTGGGGTTGACCAGGCTGGCGGGAAGAATGCTCGTTACAATGCATTGTTTCCTACATGCATGACAACTGAATGACAGACAAAAATGAACCAGTATAAAGGTAAATGGATTACTCCTGTTACTTATTAGTCAGGTAAACAGCAGGAACTATGGAAGGTGAAAATGAAACTGACCTTGAGATTACTAAATCAAAATGGATTCTTGCTGCATGCAGCTAGTAACTAGATGCTTCAGTTGTGAATGCCCAAAAATGAGGCAAGAAACTGAGGAATAAAGTAGCCTTCAATATTTTAATCACAGCAATCAGGAGGGAGAGACAGTTGAATGAATCTCTGCGAGTTCAAGGCCAGCCTGGTCTAGAGTGAGGTTTATGACAGCCTCCAAAGCTACAGAGAAACCCTGTCTTCAAAAAAAAAACAAAGAGAAAGGGAGCTGGGCAATGGTGGTACATGCCTTTAACCCCTGCATTTGGGAGGCAGAGGCAAGTGGATTTCTATGAGTTCAAAGCCAGCCTGGTCTACAAAGCAAGTTCCAGGATGGCCAGGGTTGTTAAACGAAATCCTACCTCAAAAAATAAAAAACAAAAACAGGTGAAATATTAAACTGAATAAACAGTTAAGAACCCATTCCTAAGCCAGACATTGGTGGCACAAACCTTTAATCCCAGCCACTCAGGAGTCAGAGGCAGGAGGATCTCTGTGAGTTCGAGACCAGCCTGGTCTACAAGAGTGAGTTCCAGGACAGCCTCCAAAGCCACAGAGAAACCCTGTCTCGAAAAACAAAAACAAACAAAAAAGAACCCATTCATAAAGAAAATCAAGGTCAGACTAGAGATATGGTAGTTACTTTGGGTTAAAGTTAATTGATTTTTATAAACTCCTTAAGGGCACTTTCAAGAAAAAAGGAACTGGGCCAACACTATTAGTGATCCCAAAGGCAAAGACGTTCCCAGGTCAGAAGATTAAAAGAAGCCAAGTGCAGCTATATTTTATCTACAGGTAGTTTCCTCTATTTACTCTAGTATGGAAAGAGAACTAACTGACAATCACCTCTGAGCTACCCAGAAAGATCTGCTACTTACTAGTGGGACAAAGTGGTTGTTAAACACGTTGGAGTTCCCTGAGACCAAGTGTGTGAGTGTGTGAGGTCAGACATATTTTCATAATACTATTATGATTTGTAACTTTCAATGTAGTTAACACTTGATCTGATAGTACGAAAGCAATGGCATTAAAACAGTGAATGTCTTGGCATGAATCATGGACGCAAAATCAAATTATACTAGTGTCACTGTATCTTCACTGCCATACACAATTAAAAGAGGCATACATATATAGTATTTTAACACACACACACATGTTTTTTCTAAAAACACTCTAATGCTTAGTTTCCACTGTCAACTTGATTGACTTAACAGACACGTAAGGCATTCATGGGGTACATATTTGGGTACATGTGTGAGGGTCCCATAGAGAACTGACTAAGAAGGAGAGTTCAACTTGCATGTGGGTGACACATGCAACAAAAGCTGGGAGCCCAGACGAAATAAAAGGGAGATGGAGGAGGCCTGACGTCACAGGCCTGATCACAGCCTCCTGGGAGGCCTGACGTCACAGGCCTGATCACAGCCTCCTGGGAGGCCTGACGTCACAGGCCTGATCACAGCCTCCTGGGAGGCCTGACGTCACAGGCCTGATCACAGCCTCCTGGGAGGCCTGACGTCACAGGCCTGATCACAGCCTCCTGGGAGGCCTGACGTCACAGGCCTGATCACAGCCTCCTGGCTACTGTGAGGTAAGCAGCCTTTTGTGACACGCCCACAACCATGGCATTTCTGCCTAATTAGGATCAAGACCTTGGAAACCCTGAGGTAAAAAGGGAGTCTTCCCTCCTTTAAGTTGTCAGAGAGACAAGACACTAACACACAGCACATGCAATTATATGTGCAAACATGTTTGGAAATTAACGCTTACCAAAAGACTGTAAAACTGCTTGATCAGAACAGACACCACTCTCAGCAAACGCATGCAGATGGGAAAGTACGGTTTTTCCACTGGTGCAGGAGAAGATGATGTGCTGGAACCTTGTCTGAATTTTATGTTTGGAGAAAAGAGCTTGATCACAAGAGGGCACACCCTTTCTTTGAGGAGGAAACTGAATTCCTGATGCTATTTGCAAAGGAAAAGAAGAATTCATTTAGCTTGTGGTAATACTTCTGAAGCACAGTCACACTAATGAGATGATCGTAAGTAATCTAATTATCACTGCACATTTTGGTGGTAAGTTTTGTTCTAACAACTTTAGAACGTATATAATGCACTCTGCTTACTCTCCCCCCCCTTCTCTTATTACCCCCCACCTTTGCCACGCTCCCCCCTTCCTTTTCCTTACAAACCCCTTTCCCATATTCATTGCCTTTTCTTTGTTTTCTTGTTTCCCAAAGAGTTTTTAAACTAGTACCATTGTGTGATCTGGGTTTGAAAATATCAATTAAGGATTGGGCACTCACTATTGGGTATACAACTGGACAGGACTACTGCCCCCCTCCCAGAATCTGAGCATTGCCAATAATCAGTCAGCAGTAAGGTCTCATGTGGCCCTTGTCATACTTTATACACGGGTTTGAAATGTGCACTGTTCTTGAATGGACTAAACACAAAATGGAAATATTTCAAGAAGGTGCTGTTAAGAAATGTCTTATTTTGGGAGCTGGAGAGATAATTTCACAGTTAAGTGCACTGGTTCTGATTCTGATTTTTGGTTTTGAGCCCAGGTTTGTTTCCCAGCACCCACATACTGACTAACAACCATCTGTAACTGACGCCCTCTTCTGGCCTCCATGGACACTGCATGCACAGGGTACACAAACGCACACAGGGATAAATACCCAAGCACATTAAAAAGGGAAAGAAAGGCAAAAGAAACGGCTTACTTTCACATTTCTTTCCTAAGTTCAAGGCCTGGGGAAGTCTACACAAATAAGTTTCTAAATTTATTCTAATTATAAAATTTTAAATTGTTGGGGGCAAGAAAGACAGGAAGACAGACAGAAAAACAGTAAATCAAAACCATGACTATGACCCTTGTGCTCAGGAGACTGAGGCGGTTGCATGTATAAAACTCTTGCCAAAAAAGAACAAAAACACCACCAAGAAAAACATATCTTAAACTCTCAAAGATAAAACAAACACCAAATCTCACAAAATAGTTTGGTCTGAAGCCTAAGGCTATGTCTTTGCATCTTCCAACAGGGAAGAAAAGTACATGTTGACTTCGGGACAAGACAGCGTCAATTGGCTTACTTGTAGAAAGACTTGAGGAAAGTCATTGAGGACGGACTCCAGCAGCTCAAGGCCGAAAGTCCGAGTCATTTCCGTCATGCCAACTAGCCAGTAGGGGGCGTCAGCGTTCACCAACTGACAGAGGTCCTGGGAAGCAATTAGTGTCATAGGTCACAATAAAATATGGCTTCTACAACTTACAGTTTATAAAACTACAGCAAAGCAAACCTATTTTTTTTTTAAGATTAAGCATCAGAAATTCAAATTTTGATAAATTATACTTTCAAAAGATTCTGGTAAACCTCTGTAGAAGCACGTAACTATAGCCAATAAGCAGATAACTACAGATAAGCATTATTCTAAGATTAGAATAGACTTCTAATCTTACTGTACTTAAAATGACTTAAAAGTCAGGCCAACTCGCCGGGCAGTGGTGGTGCACGCCTTTAATCCCAGCACTCGGGAGGCAGAGGCAGGCGGATCTCTGTGAGTTCGAGGCCAGGCTGGACCAACAACCTCCAAAACAATACAGAGAAACCCTGTCTCGTAAAACCAACAACAACAACAAAAAAAAGTCAGGCCAACTCATGTAACTTATTTGTGTATCAGTTTACATCAAGTAGACAGCAAATTTATTACTGAAACCTTTCTCAGTAAAGGAATGTTTTTGTAGATTAGTCACCCCTATATACCTATTTTTCTACCTTAAAGTGAGACAGCATTTCACCATGTTAGTGAGGTGTACCGCAGATGAAGAAGTCTTTCTTCAGTTTTTAAGAACTACTTTAATACTAATTTTGACATACTCAATATTAAAATAAAATTAAAAACCCTACACAAAACTACATGCTACAATAAACATTACATTTGTCAACTGAGATACCTGGAAAAGCATATATGCATCTTTAGCGCAAGGCTTCAGGGTGCTCACAGACCTTCGGTTACTGTTTCCTTGGACCAGCACTGGTGGCTCTATGTCTGCAATCAAAACAGGCCAGGCATGGGAGGAAGCACATACTAACCCCTCAGCAAATCATATACTCTCCTTAAAATGTGTCCGTCTTAATCCAGTAATTTCAGAACTATGTCTCCAAAGTGAAAAATGTATATTTTTACACAAAATACCATAAGAATTACTCTTCATTTTCTTCCATACACTTTAATAAACTTGATCTGCCATGATAACTATGAGTCATGGTTGCACCAGCTAAGAATCAGCTACAAAGTTTTCTCTTCCTGCTCACAGCATTTGTTTTAAACACTAATAATTTGGGCACAATTCATTGGGCTGACGTCATAGTCTGTGGGCGAAGGTGATTGATGCCAAACCCGAAGACCTGCATTTGATGGCCAGGATCCACACAGTGGAAAACAAGAGCTAATTCTCACAAGTCATTCTCTGACCTCCATATGTGTGCTAAGGTATGTACTTGTGGACATGTGTATACACACACACACACACACACACACACACACACACAAAAGCATGCATGTGAGTTTATGAATTTGGGGTGATATTTGGTTTGGGGGTGCTTTTTTTTTGTTTATTTATTTTGGTTTTTCAAGACAGAGTTTCTTTGTGTAGCCCTGGCTATCCTGGATCTCACTCTGTAGACCAGGTTGGTCTTGAACTCATAGAGGACAGTCTATCTCTGCCTTGGAGTGCTGGAATTAAAGGCATTTGCTACCACTGCTGGACTATATTTTTTCCAAAATAGCATTTTTATTGATGAGATTTACTTATTTATGCACTTTATGTATATGGCTGTTTTGTCTTTATATACATTTGCACATCAGAACAGGGCATCGGATCCCATGGGACTACAGTTACAGACAGTTGTCAGCCACCATGTGGGTGCCTCTGGGAATTGAACTCAGGACCTCTAGAAGATCAGCCAGGGCTTTAACCACTGAATCATCTTTCCAGCCCCAATATTTTTTTAAAGATACTATTCTTTGTAAATTATGGCAGCCTTTAAAATAAGTGTTGATTGATAAATAAATGAAAGGGCTTCTTGGTATTTTTCTATATTATTAAACTAGAAGGTGCTAAATGGTATTTCAGCCTTTAGAGAAACATGGCTAAAAATACTGCTCCAGGAATTACACCAAGGTTATGAATATTAGACATTTTTGTTTGTTTGTCAGGAAATTTGTCAAGTTCACAAAAAAGTAAAGGAACTCATCACCCATCTAAACGTACATGCATACCTATGTATCTATAACTATGTGTGTATATGTGTGTGTAAGTTTTCAGGTGTTTTTGGAGTGTTTCTCTGAAACCCTATCTTGCTGGGCTCACCCTTGGGATCCTGTTGAGACCAGGGTTACAGATGTGCACATCTGTCTCCAAAGGAATAGAATGGCTGTGCTGTTCAGCTTCTGGGTGATACTAGTTCACAAGGAACCACTTTACCTTTGTGTCGCTCATCTTCGGCCACCATCCTCTCAAAGACCACAGTGACGACCTGCCGTACTGTGGCAGCGGCTGTATTATTTGTAATATTGTCCTTTGTGAAGTGGAGTCGAAAACAAAGAACAATTGCCTAGGGGGAAATGAAGAGCATGCACATTAGCCTATCAGATGAACCACAAGTAAAACCATTTGTTTCAGTTAGAAACTAAGTCCCACCTTTTCATAAAATAAACCTAAAAAACCTTCACACTTCAAAATAACTCAGTCTCAATAGATACATAGCTATGTAAGATTTGCTAAAATAGTTTAAAATATGTCTTTCCAAATGTGGTTCATTTAATGTGTGTAATAGTGTGTCATGCTTTATTTTCCCAGAATGACTTGCTTTAGAAATAGCAAGTATTCATGGCTGTTATATCACTAAGTCTTTAGAGAGGCACTCTGTAAACTACTAAACACATAAATAAAAGCACACTATTATTAAAAGGGTGCCACACTGCTCTCTTTAAACAGCAACTTGAATATTCCGAATGTCTGTAGACAGCTTGCATTCCGTACAGGTATAGGATTTCACGAGATACCTGATCCACATGGATTGTGCCCATCTTTATCACCCTCACATTCCCTTGTGCATCTCGACAGCCCCGCTCTTCCTCTCCCTGAGCCACAGATAACTGGTTTTTACTCACACTGACCACTCAGCATGTTCTACAGATTTATATCAAAGATTCGTGTGTTACGCCTTGCTTCTGGCTTCTTTTACTTAGAGCCCTATTCATGAAGTGTGTGTGCTATTGTCCTGTGTGTCAGTATGAGTTCCCTTTTTATTTCTGAGGAGGTTCCACTGTATGGCTGCGCTTAACCGTCTATTTGTGGATGGACATTTGGATAGTTTTCATTCTGGTGCTATTCACATTCAAATGTAGGTTTCTGTGAAGACAAACATTTTCATTTGCACTGAATAAATACCTAGGAAGGACATGGCTCGGTCACAGGGTAACACAGGTTTATTTATTTATTTTTTAAGAAACTGCTATTTTCTAAAGCAGATTTACATTTTGTTATTGTGTGTGTGATTTCAGAACTATCCTATCCTCAGCACTATTTGGATTGGTGCCCTTTATAGAGCGCAACTGTCCTAATGGCTACAACAACACTGTATGATTTTAGCTCAGTGCACTAGCAGACAGGAAGGTGAGAAGCCTCGCCATGCATCTGCTCGTCACCTTATCGTGAAGTGTTTAGAACATGCCAACTTTTCATTCAGTTACTGGAGAAGAACATGTGTGTCCTTTGTTAGATACCTGTCATTATTTTCCTCTCTCTACCCTGGGACTTATTTTATGGTTCATGGACCATAAAATCCAAACTCTGAGAAATGGTTACATATATACACCAGTAACACAAAGATCTTCTAAAAGTTTAATAGTATGAAAACATACCACTCTTGGAAAACTATGAAATGCTGTGCCTTATCAACTTATATCAAAAGTTTTAAAAAATGTAATTTTATGTGTCTGAGTGCTTTGCTTGCATGTAAACACATGGCCTGCATGCCTGGGGCCTGAGGAGGCCAGAGAGGGTGCTGGAGACCAAACCCAGTGCACAGCTAGTGTTCGTCCTCTCTCTCTCTCTCTCTCTCTCTCTCTCTCTCTCTCTCTCTCTCTCTCTCTCTCTCTCTCTCTCTCTCTCTCTCTCTCTCTCTAAGACAGGGTTTCTCAGTGTGTCCCTGGCTGTCCAAGAACCCATAGAGCTTTGCCTGCCTCTGCTTCCCTAGTGCCAGTATTAAAGGTATGCACCACCACCACCCAGCACAGCTTCTACTCTTAACCACTGGGCAATCTCTCCAATGCTCTTATATTCAAACTTTAAATGACATGGCTTTAAACAGCAAATCACTCTGTATTTCAACTTAAAAGTACATTATGTTGCTACACAGAAGCTTTCATGTTGATCAGTTTTATATTATACCTTTGTATTTGAATTTAAGTAGCAAATACTTCATTTTCAATAAGGTGGCATACTAAAATAAAACCTAAAATTACTTCTTTCTCTCTCTCTCTCTCTCTGTGTATGTGTGTATATGTGTGAGTGTGCATGTGTGTGTATGCACATGTGTATGAGTGTCTGGGCTCAGGAGCACGCAGTGTGCATGACTGTGTGAAAGCCAGTACCAAGCATCTTGTTTTTGAGATGGGGTCTCTCACTGGAACTTGCCTACTAGTCAAGACTGGCTTACCAATGATCCTCAGGGTGCTGGTTGGTGTTTTTCCATTTAACACAAGCTAGAGTAACCTAGCAAAAGGGAGCCTCAATTGAGGAATTGCCTCCATTAGATTGGTCAATGGGCATGTCTGTGAGCCATTTTCTTGATTAATGGTGGATGCATAGGGCCCACCCCCTGTGGATGTGTTCTATAAGAAAGCAGGCTGAGTAAGTCGTGGGGAGCAAGCCAGTAAACAGCATTCCTCCATGACCTGTTTCAGTTCCTGCCTTAAGCTTTCTTTGATGATGGACTATATAACCTGTCAGCTGAAAGAAATCCCTTCCTCCCCAAGCTGCTTTTGGTCACGGTGTTGATCACAGCAAAAGAAACCTAATTAGGACACCAAGGGATCCTCCTGTCTGTTTCCACACTGATTCATGAGGCACCGCACCCAGCTTTTCACATGGGAGGAAGAGATGCAACTCAGGTCCTCACGCTCATATGGCAAACCCTTTACTAACTGAACCGTCTCCCACACCCCAGCGCTCTTTCTTTAGAATGTTAATGGGTAACATTTTGTAAAGTTTAAATATATTTATTAGAATAATTTGATAGAAACCAAATGGAAGCCGGGTGTTGGTGGCACACGCCTTTAATCCCAGCACCCGGGAGGTAGAGGCAGGCGGATCTCTGTGAGTTCGAGGCTAGGCTGGACCGACAGCCTCCAAAACAGAGAAACTCTGTCTCGTAAAACCAAAAAAAAAAAAAAAAAAAAAAAAAAACCAAAAGAAACCAAATGGAACTATATACAAAAAAAAAGTATATAAAAAACTCTACTTAGCAGACAGGCACCTAGAAAAACAAAATGGTCATTATGCTCTAAGAACACCAAATTAATATCTAGAAAAGGTGAACATGCAAATCCACTTGAGCTATTATGCATAAGACTGTAGACTTCTCTCTTTTATAAACTATCCATCTTCAAAAGCACAAAAACTATGACAGAACTACTGAAAGTCCAAAACAAAGTTTTGCGTGGTAGTGCATGCCTTTAATCCTAGTACTTGGGAGGCAGAGGTAGGCGGATCTCTAGGAGTTTGATGACAGCCTCTGTCTAAGGTCCAGACCAACCAAGGTCTTTATCTCTCTCTCCTTTCTTTTTTCTTTTTTCTGTCTCAACAAACAAGTTCAAAGTACTCCTCAGAGAATAAAACCATTAGCTGATAACTGTGCATTTGTTACTTTCTGATTTACAGAAATAGTTCATGATTTTAAGAACTTCTTGAAGAGCTAACTATATAAGAGAACAAATGTTAATATTCCAAAGAGGGTGTAAAGGAAAGAAATAAAATCCAGCTATGAAACCTCATCCAGAATAAATGCTCAAAGGTTTTTGGCCACTTAAAGGGACAGACTTGAACTGTTAATTTACATAATACACACATGCAAATTAGCTTCAACACAGGAGCAATTACAGAGAGAGAACTACCTAAGTCAATTCGATTCAAGGCGTTTCCTTCCCCTTACTTCCCTTCTCCACCCCTGCCCTACATTTTCTCCTCTTCTTCCACCTATATTCATAGCTAAGCAGTGGCCAAAGGTTGGACAAGCAACCAAGCTTGAGTGATCCTCTAATGAGGAGGCCCCAAGGCTGCTAACACACTTTGTTGATATCACAATAACTGCAGAGATGTTAGCTGCTTTTCATCCCAAGGCTCCAGGCTTTTCTCATTAATTGGCCTATTCAAACACTATCTCCGAGCATCACAGATACCCATTAAGTATGTGTCTTACCTTAGAAAGTGCCTCATCATGAACTACTGTGTTGGTTGTTAAGAGAACAAGTACTGTTTGTAGTAGCTTAAGTTCTTCTAGGCTGTTCTCCATTAGCTGCCAAAGCATGTTAATTATGTTTCCAGCAGCAGTCTGTCAATCAGAAGGTGGAACACAGAGTCAACTCAGATCTGAGAGATGATAGAGAACATAGTCATGGTAATATTTTTTTCTTACTTTCCATCACCAAGTCAGGTATAAACAAACTACATTTATGAGCAACACATTATCAATTCAGATAATCTACACTTTAAAACATGAATTATATGAAATAACTATTCTGTGACACTGAAATTGGCTTGATTCTAAAACCAGCTCCTGTGTTACAGAACTATACCTTCTTAGATGACAAGTCACACAAGAAATGCATTTAATCCTTAATGCTAACTTTATTTTGAAATTATCATATTTCATAAAAGTGCTTCACAGTCGATATCAGCTGTGCTTCAGTCTTCCCCATGGAAGCTGCTGATACGACTCTGAATAGGCAGCTCAGATCAAATCTGAGACCTACCTCAGACACCACCTCATGTGACATCAGTCTCTGAATGGCGGCCAGACACAGCTGAGTGATCTTGGGCTCCTTGGTCCCACACCCCATGAGGAAAGGCTGCACAACTTCTGAGCTGTTCTCCTTCAGAGCTGTATTCAGAAAACATGTAAGGTATTGGAGCTATTCATAATCAGAATATCTGTCTACATATTTACTGTCTATGATGATTGTTCTGATGTAAAATAACATCCAAATGGAAACAAACAGTAAGAACTTAAGAACTCCATATAGTACAGTCTTTACCTCACCCACAGGCTTCCCAGGCTTTCTCTATAAACATCTGCTATAAACTCTTGAGAACATGGATTCTCATGAGTTTAGAAATCATCATTTCTTAATGTGGTACGGGAGGGAAATGACAAGAATTTGTATTATAGAGCAGCAAGAATTATTAAAATCATATGTACATCATGTCCTCCACAGTTCATTAGCACTCTAGATCATTTGTATATGCTGTGAATGTAGCTCTAATTTTTTCATGAAACACACTTTTTAACAACAATAGCATTATCCTTACTACGGAAAGAGTACTTTAAATTAACTACTGGAATACAGAAACTTTTATTCCAAATCTTAATTTAACTTCTACCAACTCTAGAAGTTTTAAAGTAGCAACAAAAACATAGATTACAATACATACAATTGAATTCAATCAACCAATTAAACTTATAACATGAAATTTAAAACTTGCTTAAGGGCAAAAAAAGACAAAACAAGTTTGTCACATTCAGAGAAACTGAATAAATAACATGGAATTCTAAGAAAGGGAACATTAAACATAGGAGTCTGATAGCTGTTTTCAAGGAAACAAAACTCATAGGCATTTTTTTCAAAAGAACTTGAAAAAAAGCCATTTATCATCACTATTGAAAGGGAAAACCCACTTCAGCCATTGTTTCTTTCTTGGTGTTTGCAGTACCAGGTATGAATTTGCTGTTATGGAGCAGGCCTCAAATTCAATAAAAAAAGAGTTGATTTCACCCTTAATGGCTGTGCCACTGTTGCAGTTAGGCCTGTCCTGCCTGGAAGACCAGCACTGTAGACTGCAGGAGTCACAGCTGGGAGGAGACTTTTCTTCCCCAGCAGTCTATACAGCACAGACAGACAGCCAGAAGAGAAGCTCCCAGCTCAGGTCCAGCTTGATTTCTTTATACATCACAACCAAGCTGTGTGCATTTTCACCATCCAGTCCTATCAACTAGCTCTGGTGGGCAACCAAAAACAGTGACAAGAGCTTGTACTGTTTCGGGGCCTCTGGGGGCTCCCTGACAAACAACTCCTAAGGAGATTCTCACACCTGGCACTGGGTTTTGTTTAACAACCGTGGGCTTTTAGAAGCAATATTACTTAGACATTCAGGGATCAATCTCCCTTCTCACTCCCTCACCGATATTTAAATTGCCTTACAAACAGTAAGTTTCCATAAGGGTTTTTCATGCATCCTTAGTTTTGGTCGACCCTGAGCTCTTTCTTCCCCATGTCCTATTCCTGCTTTGCACACCACTCCCCCAATTCCTCATCTGTTTTCATATCATCTGTGTTCAGCTACCCTCCCTCCCTATGGCAACCTCCACTCAAACGGACCCTTTTTAGTTTGTTGTATCAGATTCTCAACCAATGGGTCAAATGACCCTTTTACGGGAGTTGCCTAAAACCACTAAAAAACACAGATTACAATTCATAACAATAGCAAAATTACAGTTATGAAGTAGCAACGAAATGTTATAGTCGGGGTCAGCACACTAGGAGGCACTGTATTAAAAGGATGGCAGGATTAGGAAGGTTGAGAACTACTGCCTTAGGTTAAACACACAACTCTAAAGATTTCTAGGTAGGATCCATGAGAGACAGAACATGTGGCATTTCTCTTTCTGAGCCTGGGTTACCTCATGCAATACAATTTTTTTTCTACTTTCCATCCATTTACCTGCAAATTTTGAGTAGTTTTTTATTCCTGTTTTACTTAGTATTTTTGACATTTATCCATTATATAACAGTTTGTATCTTTTAAAGAATACTTATATATCCTGTCAAATGAATTTTAGTGTCTATCATTTTAAATTGTCTTTGAGAATTTCACACATGTATTTAGTGTTTTGTTTTGGTTTTGATAATATGAACCTTTTACTCTCTACAATTCCTCCCGAATTTCTCTTTTTCCAGTTCCCCTCCCAACTTCACACCCCTTTACACGGACCATGGGTCAAATCAGTGCTGTCTTTATGTCCAGGGGTTAGGACCATCCACCAGAGCATGGGCAACCTAATGGAGATGACTTCCCTCAAGAAAAGTGACTTTGCACAGCAGCTTTCAACTGAGTTCTTATAATATTTATGTCTGAGAGCAGTGGGGACAGGGTGTGATACATATGTGTCATTTAGGGAGGGGCATGTCACAGGTATTCATTCTCTGTACTCTGACTGTCTGTGGCCCTCTGTATTAATTGACCTGTAATTTCGTTTTTTCTTTACAGCTGAACATACCAGCTACTTAGTTGTTCTGAACAGAACTACTATTTTGCCTCCCACTGATCCTCACTTTGTTGGCCATGATGACTGCAAAGACGCCCCAGCACTTAAGCACAGATGAAATGTGCATGAGGCATCTTCATTTTCTTTGCCAGGCAGTCTGGCATTGGGATGGGAGAGGACTGCGAGGCCACCAGGGCTGCTCTGCGGGGCAGTCTTGTAGTTCTTGGAGGAAATGCTGTGAGGGGTCTTAGAGCAGTAGCATCTGCTGCAATCAGACTTTCAGCTCCTTATCACTACACAGTAGCATCTGCTGCAATCAGACTTTCAGCTCCTTATCACTGCACAGCACACACTTTGCTTTCTTGTTGCTCTTACAACCAGTGTTAGGCATCAGGATCTAGACCCCAAACCTTCTCCATACCTAACTGCCAACAGTTGCGCATTTCACAGTTACACTTAATTGTGACACACCAGTTTGACTAGTGCCACGTGAACCCTTTTTGATAATGCTGGACTTCACAAGGAGTATGATGGCAACCATGATTGCCAGGAGACAATGGGCCAGAGAAAGTCCCTGTAGTCTCTATGATCAGACAACACTGCATGTGTACCCCCACATAACACCAGGCTGGTTTATGCCTAATGTGTTTGTTAAGCCATCCACCTCTTCCCTTGTCTGGCTAAAACCCCGTTAGGCTTTAAGACCTAGCTTTAGATGTCCAAACATGCTTAGGTGCTTTCCCCCTAAGCCTCTGTTAACCACTTTTGTGTACTTTCATTTTGGCACGTAGTGTAAGTACTACAATACCAGACTGTAATAGATTAATGCATAGCAAGATACTAGGTCCAAAAAAGAAAGAAAAAACCTGTACACCTTTAACCCCAGCACTTGGGAGGCAGAGGCAGGCATGTCTCTGAGTTTGAGGTCAGCCTGGTCTATAGGACAGTGAGGACTACACAGAGAAATCCTGTCTTGAAAAACCAAAACCAAACAAAAACAACAAAAAAACACCACCACAGAGTCAATTTTAAGAGATTCACATTATGTGACACAATTTGAGGCTTATATCAAGGAAGGTCTTAGTATTCCCATGTAATATGATAATAGCAATCTAAGAAAGGACAAGATGATGGCTCTAATTTTAGAAAGTGTGTCATAGGGTGTGTACATGGTACACATACATACATGCGGGTAAAACAATCATACACATAAAATAAAAAACCTTTTAAGATATCACAAATATACATATTGATAAAACTATACTAAAACAAACAGGTAAATTACTTTTTTGGAGGGAGGGGGTTCGAGACAAGGTTTCTCTGTGGCTTTGGAGGCCCTCCTGGAACTAGCTCTTGCAGACCAGGCTGGTCTCGAACTCACAGAAATCCTGCTTCTGCCTCCTGAGTGCTGGGATTAAAGGTGTGCGCTACTATCACCAGGTGGTAAATTACTTTTTATGTCAGAAAAAAAATCTGAAGAATATTTACTGGTTGCTACTTAGAGACTATTTAGTTACTAAGACTATGTAGACAGGAAAAGATAAGGGAAAACTATGAGGAAGAACACAAATTACAGATAATGATTAAGTTTTACATGTATACTGACAATAGTTGAAAGCAGCCATGATAGATGTAACCATTAGGGTTTGCGTTAAGAATTAGATATATAACTTTTAAAGATACTATCACTTCATAGATTTCCCTGCTAAAAATACACACTAAAAACAGAATATATGACTTTTAGGTTACACATGCCTTCTTGATTTCTAATAGCTTGCAATCGAGGATAATAAATAATTTGTAACACACAGTAGTCAAGCGTAAGATTAAGGCAGTTGGCTTTATAACAGAAGAACTTAACATTGTTATCTCTTATTCTCAGTGTTCTAAGACAGGAGAAGATAAAGACCTGCATATCTGGTCAGTGCTGGCGTTACCTGGCATAGCATTTCCACTCATGTCAGCATTCATGACAGCAGTGAAAACAAAGAGAAGTAAACATTAAAAGAGGATGCTTAGAAAGGAGCAGAGATGTGAGGAAGCCTGACCCTGAAAAGCAAGCCATCTTCCCCTGAAGCTAAGAACTAAGCTGACGAGAGACAGCGCTACACATCACTAAGCAGGCTTGATGATCTGAATTCTAGCATCACCACAACTTTTCAGGTTCTAAACATAGACATACAGAGAAGAAGTCAACAGTCTGGCTCAGCGGCCTGTCCTCAACTGTTTGTGATGTTTGGCATTTGTTGCAGGACAAAATTAGTGTCCCATAATCTTAAGTTTATAAAGAAATAAAAACTTCCCAGGTAATTAAAATCTTAAAAATTTTCTCAGTATTAACTATATTCCGAACTAGGTAATTTAGAAACTATATACTTATCAGCTATAAGAGCCTTTGGTTTCAAAATGACAAGATATCAATGAAGTCTATATCTGTAGGTATCAGCTACTATAAACACATGGTTTAAAATCCTAAAATGGCCAGGCATTGGTGGCACACACCTATCCCAGCACTTGGGAGGCAAAGGCCAGTGATCTCCAAGTTTGAGGCCAGCCTGGTCTACAGAGAGAGTTCCAGGCCAACCTCCAAAGCTACCAAGAAACCCTGGCTCAGAAAAAAGAAAAAAACCAACCTAAGGCAAAGTTTAAATACTAATATACCTCCTTAAATAGATGGCTCTAGAGAATATGAGATCAAAGATATGTGATGTGAAATATGGCTACATGTGTCACAATGAAATCAATAATCCAGCTACATATTAAATTTTCTTATTCTTTAAAAGTTGAACTGTATTTATTTATTTATAATTGTGTATGTGTGTAGGGGTGTGCCCATGCCACAGCACACATATGGAAGTAAGAAACTAACCTGCATTAATAACTTTTTCCTTTCACCATGAATCAAAGAATCAAACAGAATTCCTCAGGCTTGGGCAAGCACCTTAACCCCCTTAGGCATCTCAACAACTCTAAATTTTTTTTATTCTTCCTTAAGCTTAATTACTTAGATATATATCACTCTGCACAGAATACTAGAATATAGTGATTCTCTGAAGTTCTCCTATCAGCTATAAGACCAATGAAAACTACTGCTGAGAATCAAGGATTTGTTATTGTAATATAAGCAAAGGTAAATATTTTACAATGAAAACTTTGATTCAACTGCAGTAAGTCTCCAGGTCATAAATTACCTTTAAACATGCAGTTCCTCACAGAGGCTAAAGTCAGTCCACGCAACAGATACATCCCAAAACCTATGTGCATACTCTTCCGGTCCCAAACACGTTTACCTTCCACATTGCTCCCCTCCTACACACACACACACACACACACACACACACACACACACACACACACACACACACACACACACAGCATTATTCAAGGAAGAAACTGTGGGCAAAAGATGCAACTAGGAAAACTAACCTTCATGGTAAGTTTCCAGTCACACTGAGAAGCCTAAGGGAGATCTACTCTTGTCAAAGGTCTTTATTTTATTTTGTAATCGGATGACATTTCTAAATTAGGAATTCTTAATGTTTTAAAACTTTCAAGTTTATGTTTAAACCGTGTAACCACGACTGCCTTTCTCCTCTGCTGGCTGAAATGAGAGGCACCCCTGGAGCTGGAAGGCGGAGGGAGGGCCGCAGGAAGTGCATGCACTGAGGAGCCAGTGTGGAAACCCTGAAGCAGCAGGGTGGCACTCAGCCAACACCCTGGGTTCAGCAGGCACCGTCACCTGCATCCCAGTCTGCTGAGCCACCAAGTGAGACAGTGACACTGTCTCATGAGACTCTCAGTCCCACCTCATCCGTGCTCAGTACTGTGGCACAGACAGAAGGGACCACAGAGGAGAACAGAACAGATGGGAGACAGGAAGCCATGTCACAGAGAAGCTCGAAACTCCTCCTGAAAACCAAGTCCAATAAAGACCAGAAGACAAAACAGACCAACCCTCTGTCAATCAACACAGTGCAAATTAGCAAGTGATTACTTTGTATGGGCAATGTGTGTCACCTGAGTAGTAGAGGTGGGGAGAAAGCAAAGAGTAAGAAAATTCTTCACGGGGGCTGGAGAGATGGCTCAGTGCACTGGCTGCTCTTCCAGAGGACCTGAGTTCAATTTTGAAATACCCACATGGTAGCTCACAACCATCTATAATGGGACCTGAAGACCTCTTCTAGCGTGCACGCAAGCATGCAGGCAGAACACTATGCAAAATAAGTAAATAAATCTTTTTAACAACAAACAAACCCAACAACAACAAAAGAAAATTCTTCACTCTAAGGAACTGGTAGCTTTTAGGCTTCTCATTTCAAGGAATTTTTATGTTGGTTTTTTTTTAACTTTAAAAAAATTTTAGGTTTTTTTTGAATAGGGTTTCTCTGTGTAACCTTGATTGTCCTGGAACTCTCTCTCTGCAGACCAGGCTGGCCTCGAAGTCACAGACATTCACCTACTTCTGCCTCACAGTGCTGAATTAAAGGCATGCACCACAGTGTTCACCTCTGGGAACTACAACCGGTTCACAATAGGCACAGTCACATTTCCTGTATCAGGAATAACACATTAGAGCACAGGAAAATGATGCCACAAAAAACTGATGGCTTTCTTTAAGGGTCTACTTTAACTATTAGTAAAATTTTCACTAATTACTGAGTTTATAAGCAAAAGAATTACCTGCCAAAATTTCAGTGTTTCTTGCAGCTATTGTTTTAACTTTTATTATTCCGGATTCAGCAGCCTGTAGGAACAAAAATAATTATAAAATAAAGCTTAGTATAAACATGAATTATGGTAGGAAAGCAAACACAAAATCAAAAGCACAAATAGTCACTCTCATCTTTATTCTTAAAACAGTGGAAGTTCAGTATTGGCACATGCATAAAACAACAAAATTCAATCACCTGGATTACTGATATACACACTGCACTTTACCTGACGCCCTCCTCTGCCTTACGGCCAGGAACACCTGAGCACTGTACAGATTTCTATTCCAGACAATGAAACAAACAAAAGCCAATGAGAAGAACAAGATTCTCCTTCTCCTCTTTGCATGCACCTCCCCTCTCTCCACCTCAAACTGCAAAACTGTCTTGAACTAATAGGAATCAATCCTATTTTTCCCTTTCTATATTTTAAAGATTGATTTCATTTTATTTATATGTATGTGTTTCTGGGGAATCATAGAGACCAGAAGGAAACACTTGGAGCTGGAGTTACAAGTGCTTGTGAGACACCTAACTAAGGTGTATGCTATAATCTAAACTCAGGTCATAATCAGATATGAACATCTAACACACACACACACACACACACACACGAAAATGGGCAAAGAAAAAAAATCATCCCTAAATGCAAGGAATCACCAAAAAAGACTATTTGCTGTTTTAGATGTTTATATTAGACCTACTTCATCATTCTCCATTTTTATAACTAAACTATGTATTATCCAACAAAGTACTTGGGATTATTATTATCCTCATTGATAACATGTGTTGCTAGAAATTTTTACTAAAAATGTTTATTTGTAAAACACATATATCAAGGTGCCCCGACGCCAACTACTGTAGTCTTACTTCACGCCACACTAACCCTAGCATAGCCTACCTACTCTAGAGATTCCTGTAGAAAATGAGGTCTTCAGAGGCGTCTCCATCTATCTCCTCACACAGGCTTAGAGGTGTGAGGAGAGTGTCTCCCACTGGATGTGGTGGCTAACCCTACCCTCACTAAGCTGGAAGACTGAGGGAGGACAAAAGCCAGTTCTAAGCCAGGGAGTCAGGTTAGGCTGTGAGATACTAGTTTGAAACAAAACAAAACAAAAACAAACAAAAAGACTGGAGAACTGGGTGAGCAGTTAACAGTGTGGTGGTTATTCAACAGAATCATCCGTAACTTCAATTCCAGGGGATACAACTAGGAATGCTTGACAGGTTCATGTTACTATATCTGTTTCTTTAGTCTAGTATAAGCCCTTATATTACTAATGCTTACCACACCTCCTTTAAAGTAAATAGCTACATAATAATGGTTTCTAAATGAAAAGTTAACATAGTATAAAAATTCAAACTCACTTAAAAGGTAGGAAAGAAACGGGTATTTACTACCTCACTAAAAGAAAATTTCCAAGAACTCTGACCCTAGATTCACTACTAGATATAGTTTATTTCTCTGTCACTCTTGTCTTGGTTCTGGTCTGTGACATGATACATTCATCCTCAAGCTGTCTCCAATCTTAGCAACAAAAATAACTGCAGCTATTCAACACCTAAGAAGTCCTGACACTATCTAGAGAGAGAGAGCAGAGTTCTAGAAGTAGGCATTAGCGTTATGTGAGTTGTGAAGCAGTGGGGAGGGATGGGATTTATTTTTAAACGTGCGTGACTGTTTTGCCTGCATGTACATATGTGCACCATGTGAATCCTTAGTCCCTACAGAAGAGTGTGTTGGAAGCCCTGGAACTAGAATTACGGATGGTAGTGAGAACCACCATGTGGGTGCTGGGAAGCAAACCAGAGTTCTCTGCAAGACCAACAAGTGCTCTAAACCACTGAGCCATTTCTCCAGCTCCAAAGGGAAGATTATTCAAACTAAATTAAGCAAACCAAAGCACTCAGTAGCGTGACCAATCAGTTCATCTAGATCCAGGAGGTTCTGTGTGAAGAATGTAGACTACCAATGAAAGGCGGCAAACAATGCACACTACAGAAGGAATGAGCACACCAGTGACTAGAACTACTACAGATTCATCTTCTTAAGGTTTATAAATCAGGCATGGTGGTATGAGTCTATAATCCCAACAGAAGGGGGAAGGAAGCAGGAGGATCAGGAGCTCATGGCCAGTCTGGGATACTTGAGACTGAAAGGGGCTGTAAATGTTGCTTCCTATCATAAAAGTTCATGCTTCTGCTTTTAACAAATATATATCTTTTGCAACTCATGAGAAAAATAATCTAAAATTAGAACAAAATTTCAAGATTCCTAATTAATTATTCCTAGAACACAGCCCTGAAATGAAAGAAAAAAATGTGACGTTTACCTTACTGTCAACGTAGATGATAAAATGTATTCACAAGACACACAGGAAGTATGGGGATGCCCTGAAGACTTTCCCTATGAAGTCAGGTAAATGCTAACACCCAAAGTCAAACACACATTTGGGAGTACTGAAAAGATATAGAATATCCCTTAAAGGAATGTGCTCATAAAAGAATCACTACATTGAAACCAATAAAATACCCTTCCAATGCATCCAACTATTTATTCTACAACTATAGTTTCAAAAGACCATGTTGACATTTTATTCTAAGCCCATGGTTTCTAAGAAATAAACTTTAATATGTAAAATGGAAGACTGGAATGCAGGGTGCATGTAGATGGCTAAAAATATTCATGTGGATTCCTGTCTCTTTCCTATCCTAAAACTTTAAACTTCAATAAAGGATCTACTCAGCACATTCTCCTTGCTCTACAGTTCTAAGCCACACTGGCTAGAAAGACAGATTGGATGAAATGGAGATGCTTCAGGATTTATTTATAAAAGAGCGGGAGAAAACTCACAACTACAACAACATAACATGTAAGAGTTATAGGACGTAACTTAGGCAATAAGCTAAGTTTTAAAAAAAGAAGCAGAGGGAAAGCACACTAGACAAATAAGCCTGCGAGCGAGCCTGGGCAGGAGCTCTTCCCAACAGCCGGCTCCCATTCGGCACACAGTTAAGTGTTTAAAAATTATCCTCGTGAATGAATGAATAAATGAGGAATGAAATCAGAAAATTATCTGTGGATTTAGTTCACTTACACGATAAACGGGTTGGGAAGTATTTGGGGTGGGACTAACACAAGACAGAATTCTACCTGGGGGTGGGGGAAGGAGGAGTCAACTCCACAACAGTAACAGTAACCTCAGCACTGTCAGCATGAAAGGTAGAGGCAAGAGCACCTCTGCAGAGGTCATTTAGGCAGCATAATCACTGCCTAATTAAAGTGGGTAAGGATGAGGAAGCCAGAGAGGAAAGTTAGGGTCTGAAACGCTATCCTAAGAAACTTAATAATCACATGGTAGCAACCCGGAGTTTCTGAGTGAGTGCTGAGTGTGCTGCTTTAATTTACTTACATCATTGATGTGCATCAAAAGTCAGATGTGAAGTTAAAACTTGGCGTAGGGTGGTACATGAGAAACTCCAGAAAGCAGCAACAGAGAAACGACAGCCAGGCAGGAGTAGGATAAGCAACAGTGATATGCTACCTACCAATAACAAGTCAAAGGGACAGGGAGCGAGGGCTGTTTTTAGCAAAGCATAGTTCAATGACACAGGTTCTGTCTCAATTATGTGGGTGATAATCTGGTAAAGGTGTTGCACGGGCTGACAGGAAACTCACAACCAAACCGGAGTGCATGACACAGATAAAGCCACTGGCATCGTGCTAAGGCCAAAAGCAAGGGAAGTGGGCGGTACACAGGGAGGAGTGTGAAGAAAGGCTGGGAGACTAACCGCTACACTCACATAAAGACCAGCACTGCTGAGGGAGGAGACAAGAACAGTGTGCCACAGAAGTTAAAAGGAGAAAGCTTCTGGGGGGGGGGGGTCAGAGCAGTGAGTAAGGATGTGGACAGGTAATGGGAACTGCGGCATTTGTAGGATGCTGTATGTAGAGATGGGTACACTGGGAGCCACATCCGGTTCTTCCACACCCCGGCTTACTACCTTATTGAGCCCCTCTAAACCTCCTCGTGTAAAATAAGTGATTTAGTTTATTCTCTTCTCTTCTCTTTGAGACAGTGTCCTGATATGTAGCCCAGGCCGGCCTGAAACTATGTAGATCAGGCTGGCCTCAAACTCAGAACTGCTTGCCTGTGCCTCGAAAGAGCTGTGGTCACACTACCCCTGGCTACTCTCTCTTCTGAGATGGAATGTTGTTATGTAGAAAGGCTAGATTCTAGGTGGGCCTAACCATAAAATATTTAAAGCAGTATGTTAAGATGCAAAGGGTCCTGCACTGTTGTAAAGGTTATATTTTATTTAACCAAGTTCACTTCATGAAAATAAAGGAAGTGTCTCTTTTGTTTGTGTTTGCACCCAAGAGAGTAATAAATTGATCTACACTTTAATTACACAATCTACTCTGCACTTGGTTAAAAATAAGCCACATCACAGAAGACAGAAAAAGGACTCAGTGATTTTAAGTCATAGACAGCGTCTTATTTCTGTGTCACCAAAGCAATGCCATGAAGTAATCAATGCAATGCAAGTTCTTAAGTACTTGTCTCTATTCTTATGCGTTTCGACATACACAACATGAATTTATTCTTTTATACTTATGAGAGAAAGAACACACACCAAGGGGGAGATAACAGTACACTAAGAGTACTAACCCCAAACAGCTCACAAGCAAGCATGGCTAGATTACCCAGTGTCCATTCTTCACCATGAAATGGTCCCGAAAATGAAGTGTAAATGCACCCAGAGAGCCAAGAACCTTAGCCTCAGAGCCCGAATACAGGAACAAACAGAAAAGCCTCCTGTGGCAATAGAAAGCACTCTGTCACCAGTACTTTAGCAACCACCAGCTGACACAGAACAAAAACTCTGCACTGGAAAACTCCGCCACAGGGAACCTCTGATTTAGACAAAAACCTCCACCAAGGTGCCGATGAATAACAGAGAGCTTGCAAGTACACAGCCTGGAAATATGACTCGTAATGTATGCTATACCAATTCTGTGCTAGTGAAAAGAGAGAAGTCTGAAAGATGGCTTGTTGGAAAGGGACTCATCACCAGGTCTGACAATCCAAGTCTGCCTGTATGGGCATCTCGTGTGCCTGGTGCCAGGGAAGGCCGAAGATGGCATCCCATCGATCCCCCTGAATTGGAGTTACAGAGAGTTGAGAGTCATCATGGGGTGCAGACAATCAAACCTAGTCCTCTGGAAGAGCAGCAGTGCTCTTAACCACTGAGCCATCTGTCCAGCCCCAATTAAGACTCATTCATTCAGCAAATCCTACGGAACATGAACCATACACAAGGTCATCTATCAGACACAATCACAAGATTCTTGCCAGTCACCGCAAAGGCTAGCAACAATTCCTGGGGAGCTACCTGGCCAGTGATTATGTAAAAATGTATGCACTTCAACGAATGTGCCAGGATGGGGAATGGAGTGAGTTCTAGAACTTTGTAAGCTACCTGTTAGAACATTGAGTGTTTTTTGTTTTTTTTCCAATAAAAATACCACAGTAGGTAGCAATTAAGTTCTCAGGTTAACCCAGAGGCCTACAGCACAGAGGAATCACAGTTCTCTCTGTCTCTCTCTCTGTCTCTCTCTCCCCCTCCCCTCCCCCTCCCCCCCCCCTCTCTCTCTGAGACAGGGTTTCTCTGTGTGGCCCTGGGTGTCCTGGAACTCACTCTGTAGACCAGGCTGGCCTTGAACTCAAGAGATCCGCCTGCCTCTGCCTCCTGAGCACTGAGGTTAAAGGCGTGTGCCACCACTGATGTGCACTTTACAATTCTTAATATTGCTGAAATTATAGTTGGATTTGATATTTTCAAAACAAGAAAAGTTTTTACAATAAAAGAACCCCCCATGCCGGGCGGTGGTGGTGCACGCCTTTAATCCCAGCACTCGGGAGGCAGAGGCAGGCGGATCTCTGTGAGTTCAAGGCCAGGCTGGACCGACAGCCTCCATAACAATACAGAGAAACCCTGTCTCGTAAAAACCAAAAAAAAAAAAAAAAAAAAAAAAAGAACCCCCCCATTTGTGTGTGTGTGTATGTGTGTGTGTGAGTGATGTCTCAACAGGATCTCACTCTGTAGCCCTCAGGCTGGCCTCAAACTCATGCCCATCCTCCTGCCTCACCCTCCTGGATGCTAAAACAACCTAATTCTTTAAAATTACTTGCTATAACTTTCAACAGACAGATGATATAGAACAACAAGAAAATAAACACCAAAGCAAATTAGTGGTTATCTGAACTAAAACACGGTATCTCAAAGTGATCCATCTGATTTCTACTCTGGGTAGTAGCTCATTAAAGAAATTAGAATTTGTTGAAGACAGGTTCTGCAAGGCACTCACAGGGATCTTAAAAGATCCCTTAAAAGTCAAAATTATAGCACTCGGGAGGCAGAGGCAGGCGGATCTCTGTGAGTTCGAGGCTGGGCTGGACCGATAGCCTCCAAAACAATACAGAGAAACCCCGTCTCGAAAAAACCAAAAAAAAAAAAAAAAAAGTAAAAATTATAAACTTTACCAGTCAAGGTCTGAACATAGAACTTTTTACAATAAGGATATAGTTTTACGTGGAAAAACACAAACTCGGTATAATACAAAATAGAATGTTAAATTGCAGGTGTACTAAGCTACACTCATTAGAAATGAAAATTAAATAACTACTTTTACAGTAACATGGAACTAAATTATTTCTTATTTTTACATTTTTTAGACTTATTCATTTTTGGTTTATGTATATGAGTGATTTGTCTATATAGTTGTTTGTGTACCAGGTGTGTGCGCATGGTGTCTTCAGAGCTCAGAAGAGGGGACTGGATCCCTTGAAACTGGAATTACATGTGAGCCACCATGTCAGTGCTGGGAATTGAACCTGGGACCTCTGGAAGAGCAACCAGTGCACTAAACCTCTGGGCCAGCTCAGCCACCTGAACTCCCATGATTTCAAAAATATGGAAGGACAGTTTTTTTAAAAATAATTCAACAAAAATGAAATCTTAAGAGAAAAATGGTCAGGAATGACTTAATTAAATAATGATTGAATTAAAATTCTCAGTTCAGTATTTGGAAATTTTTATTAGCATATATATTATAATTGAGCTTCTTAATGACACTGTTTTCCTTTGAGGATTATCATCACTATCATTACCTTTTTGGTTTTTTGAGACAAGATCTCTTTATGTAGCCCTGGTTGTCCAGGTGCTCTCTCTCTAACTCACAGAGATACACTTGCCTCTGAGCGCAGAGAATAAAAGTTTGGCCACCACACCTGGCCTCATGTAATCTTATAAAACCACATTTTAACCCTATTCAACAGCTGAAAAAAGAAAACAACAAAATCCAAGGACCCACGAAGCTATATTCAGTCGCATTCGTTTGTAATCCAAAACAAAGCTTCCCACGAGGATACTGCTTTAAGGGAGTTACTGTAGGCCTTGACCATTTGCGGTAAATTAGGCGCTCTAGTTAACAATCAAGAAGGATATGTTTCCCAGTGAGTGATATACATACATTATGGACATGTACGTGTGGAGTACAGATTCCGCTACAGCGGTGGTTTCTAATATTTAGGAGCACCTGACTCAATTCATCAAACTCAATTCACTCCAGGAACTTCATTCCGAAATAAACATGACAGGAGAAAGGAAGACATCGCTTCTCCTTACAACTCTCAAAGGAAACTATCAACATTTGTGTAACAGTCACCGGCTTAAACCTGGCTGGCGGAACGAAAAATGAAACGTGGGACCCGGGGGATGGAGAAACGGGTCTGATAGGACCAGGGAGTGCTCTCTGCGTTTGCCGGACGCCGTCTGAAGCATACCTCCTTGACAGGTGGAAATTTCTTCTTGCATTCTAGTGACAAGGCCCGCAAGTCGCTCTGCATATTCTCCAGTAGCTTCTTCACAGCCTCGGGGCTGTTGGTGCCGGACATGGTCTACCCCTGGGTCCTAGCCGATCGGGGAACGGCACCGCCAAGCTGGCACTGTCAGCCTCCAGCAGCCCGAGCCCAGCGCTCCGCGGGCGCACTCCTGCCGGGCCTGGGCGAGCCCCCGAGGCGTGCCCGAGAGACCCCCCTCCGCCGCCCCGCACCGCCGACGGCTGCTCGCCGAGCTCTGCCCGCAGCCGTGCCGGCCCCGCGAGGCTCCACCGGCGCCCGCTCGGGAGCCCACCAGGCGGGCAGGTCCCTCCCGCTACCGCGGGGCCCGGCCACGGCGGGCGTCACCGGCCGAGCTAGCCAGAAGCTTCAGCGATGCCCGCCCCGGGCGCCCAGACTCGCCGACGCCATTAGCCGAGTCGCCCACAATTCCGAGCGCGGCCCCGACACGTCAGCCGCACTTCCGGGCTCCGGGCCCCACCCCCTCCCGGGCCAATCGAGAGGCGAGACGCTAGAGGGGCGGGGCCGAGCAAGGAGCCTGGACCAGCTCCAGCTGGACAGTGTGGGCCCCGCCCCCGGCGTCCACGCAGGTGCCTCGCACAGCTGCGCAGGCGCATCCCGCTTCCTTTTTCTTGGCTGGTAACCTGGAGAGAGCTGGGGGATGCTCCTCCGGGGGTCTCTCTGAGTATGTTTGTGTTCCGTTCTCTTCTGCTATAGATGTTTGCTTCGTTTTCAGTGAATTTGTCTTGCCCCTCACTTCTGCCTCCTTGGAACTCCCAAATTTATAACACAAATCAACATCTTACCTTTCCCTGAGGACCTAAGTGGCAGTCACTCTGCAGAGTTGTACAAAGCGCCTTTGGAGTAGTCCCTTATTCTCCTTATGTTACGAGACGAGCGCCCCCCCCCACCCCACACACACACCGTTGTTTTTCCTTGACAGTTTCAAGCAAGCTGAACTTCCCTTTTATGTGGTCTGTTTTGCTTTGTTTCTGTTGTTTTCACCCCTAATCACTTGGTGCGTCTCCACAGCCTGCAATGATTCTGGTACATGCTAGGTAATTGAGGCGCAAATAAAGAACCAATCCATTAGATCGAAGTGCCAAATAAATGTGACGCAAAAGCAAAACTGTGTGCTTTTTCAGAGCTCCAGGTTTGTCTTTTTTACCCAAGACATGTCTCTGTTGCAAAATAAGCAGGAAGCAAAAATAACTTCGGGTTGTTCTGATGTGCAATGTCAGCTTGTGTGGATTAGAGTTAGAAAAGAAGGAAACTGTGTCTGTATTAAGGGCTCTCTAACACTAACGGGCTGGAACTTCTTGTTTGTAAGGAATTAGAGTGTTGCTGGTTCGGAACCAAATTATCTTGGTTATCTTCTGCCCTTGTTATAGCCATTTGTTCTCATCTGTGTTTGACCTAATATCCTTGTGACTATCAAGTAAAAAATTTTTGGAATGTGTCACCAGGTTCCTAGCTTCCAGCAACCCAAAGGTGATCACTATCAGACAGTATCTGAAACCCATAACAGAATCTTTTCTGTTTCCACTAATCCAGAAGTTCTCAACATCTGGATTTCGACCCTTTTGGGCAGAGTGGGGGAAGGGAATGACCCTGTTATAGGGGTCACCTGAGACCATCAGAAAACACAGATATTTAATTACAATTCATAATAGCAAAATTACAGTTATGAAGTAGCAAGGAAAATAATTTTATGGTAGGGGGTCATCACAACATGAAAAGCATTAAAGGGTCACAGCATTAGGACATTAGGAAGGTCGAGAACCACTGTAGTAATATATTTTTGTACTAATATATTTTTTAAAAATACTTTGATTTATGACTTGCTTTGCTTTGTTACTATAAAAACTATGAAAATGCTACTATGTTGGATCATGGTATTTGGGGCAATGAAATAATTTTATGGTTGGGGGTCACCATAACATGAAGAACTGTGTTATAGGGTTGCAGCATTAGAAAGCTTGAGAACTGCTGTATTAGATTATAGAACCTACTAACTATAGTGGATGTCCTAAATATTTTCCCTTTTGTGAGATATTTAAGCTTTTTTTGAAGATACTTATTGTCCTGAAACCTTCAAAAACAAAACTTGAATAGTTCTTTTTATCAGAATCTATGTTTTTGAGACTTCAAATAAGATTACCTACATACCAAAATAAACTCCCATTATTTGGAGTTAGGGACCTTAATTCTTTGGCTAATACATTTCCAAATAGGTGAGGAATTTCATTGAATTTTCTGGCTACACTTACCAAGTATATTGAGGTTTTGTTTTGTTTTTTTTCATAGTGTCATGATCAGTATTCTCAATGGCAAACAGATACTGTGAGGTAAGACATGGAGTACCCAAAGAAAGCAACTTTTTAAGTTAAGGAGATTTTTCTCTGAAGCTGCTGCTGGTGACGCACGCCTTTAATCCCAGCACTTGTGAGGCAGAGGCAGGTGGATCTCTCTGAGGCCATAGCAGTCTACAGAGCGAGTTCCAGCACAGATTCCAAAGCTAAAGAGGGAAACCCTGTCTTGAAAAATCAAGAAAAAAATACTCTGAAACCTATGTTACAAATGTATAGGGATTTGGAACTACTGAGCAGAGAGGAATCACTGTTGAATTTTCCACAGAGTCCTGGAAACAGCAAGTCTTGAAATTCTTTGCAATTTGAGGTTTTGATATAGTGCATGAGTATCTGAACATAAAAACCCACATGGTCTGCCTTTTGTTTTGCAAAAAAACAAGAACAACTGCAGAATTGTATTATAATAATTTAAAATCCATTCAGGACCATTTTTGTTCATCTTCTAGTCTCTGTTGGTGCCAAGTTACATTTCAAGAAAAATTACCTTTCTCTATTTTTTTTTCAAGACAGGGTTTCTCTGTAGCTTTGGAGCCTGTCCCGGAACTCTCTCTATAGACCAGGCTGGCCTCAAACTTACATAGATCCACCAGCCTCTGCCTCCCAAGTGCTGGGATTAAAGGCGAACTTCACTATATATAAAGATTGACTTCTTGTATTTTATCTGTATGAGTGTTTTCCATGCCTGTATGTGTGTGTTCCGTGTCTGAAGAGAGAGCATCAGATCCCCTGGATCTGGAACTGGATATGCTTTGTGCCACCAGGTGGGTGCTGGCAAGTGAACCCAGATTATCCGCAAGAGCAACAAGTGCTCCTAAGACTGAGCCATCTCTCTTGTCAGCTTTCTTGTCCTAATACTGCCTACTTTAAAGTGACCCCGGTTAGGTAAAACGCAACCTAAAAGTAAGTTCTCAGGAATAAGTGTCTGATTGCCCACAGTTCTACATTGCCCTGTTGCCAGTTTTCTTTCTAAAAGAGTAATTAAAAGAAAGGAAGATTATTAAACTGGGTAGGCTGGCAGCCTGGAAGCAGAGAGAGGCAGATGTCTGTGAGTTTGAGGGCAGCCTGGTCTCCACAGTGAACTTTGGGATGACCAAGGTTACATAAGGAGATCGTGTCTCAAAAACAAAACATAAAGGAGAAAGAAACACAAACTTTAGGACACTATATATGCTTTGGAAAAGAAACAATGTTTTTGTGTGGGGGAGTCCTGTGGGTGGTGTATGCACATAAGTACACATGTGTGAATAAATATGTGGCCCTGTGAGCATGTGGGTGGAGATCATAGGAGGATGTTTGGTGTCCTGCTGTCTTTCTTCACATTATTCCCTTGAGTCAGGGCCTCTCGATGAGCTTGAAGCTTGCTATTCTGGCTAGGCTGTCTAGCCAACTGGCTTCTGAGATCTTCTTGTCTTCCTCTCCCTGAAACTCCGGGTTACAGACACTGCATCCATGCCTGGCTTTTTAAAAGTAAATGCTTGGATTCAAACTCAGGTCTTCATGCTTGCTCAGGAAGCACTTTTGCCGACTGAGGCATCTCTCCACACCTCTCTATGTAATCTTGAGTTCCCCATTCTGAACTAGACTTCAGTATCCTGTCATTCACACACACACACACACAGTGCCCCACAATGCTGACTTCCTTATTCCTGGCCAAGACACTCCCTGCCTACCTGACCTCATCCTGGTGTTGGGTGATCCTTTTACTCAGGTGGACAGGTTCCTCCAGGTCCCATATCCCTGAGCACACAGCCTGTGCTGCACTTCTTAACAGTGGCTTCTAAAAGCACAGTGACATATAAACCACAACTGGGTTTTAGCCTCTCCTGAAATGGGAATCCATGGAAACTGAACTAGGCTACTTCCATGTTAGCTGTTATTGGGTTTAAGGTGGAAGCCAAGAGCACCACCTCTGCAGGAAATTTCTCAGTGGGTACTGTGAATTTCTTGTTATTGTCATAACTACAGAGGACAAATATTATTCTGAGGAGTTATTTGGCCCCATGACCAAAAAGGAGGAACTCTCCTTTTATTATTTTTATTTCAGGAACATGTACACACAGAAACATATGCCTTAAAGGGGAAGTGGGGGTACTGTTGATCCAAGAGAGAGTGCAGTAGTTTTGTCTGTGAATGGAGGTCTGTCTCACATTAGAGTGTATCTGTAAGAAATAGCAAAGCAACAAATGAAAATTTCAGAGGCCTCCTCCTCCAAACACTATTTAATTACAAAATTCAAAAATAGTGGCAAAAGTCAGAATTTAAGCAAGGGTAAAGTTCGAGGTGGTCACTTTGCAAAAATAGTTTCTAGAAAAGGTGTGGCTAGCTTCTTTATAAGTGAGACTGGGTGATTCACAAAAGGCAGACAATCATTAAAAGGAATAAGGGACCCAACAGGAAAGTTTTAGTATCCATAGAAAGAAGACAGGAGTATTTATTTGCCAGACAGATAGTTGATCTTATCAGTATATTGCCTTAGAGTCTTTCACATCAACAGAGTTATCTTGCAAGTAAGAGAGTCACTTAGGACGAGAGTTGATCAGTGCCTATAATGATGTCTTCTTAGATAAGCCATGTGTATTTAACCTGACCCAGAAACAGGGTAGGGCACTGTCCTAGTTAGGTTTCTATTGCAGTGATAAGACACCATGACTAAAGGTAACTTGGGGAGGAAATAGACTACAGTCGCTGTCTATTATGAAGGGAAGTCAGGGTAGGATCTCAAGGCAGGAACCTGGAGGCGGGAGCTGATGCAGAGGCCATGGAGGGTGCTACTCACTGGCTTGCTCGCTATGGCTTGCTCAGCCTGCCTTTTTTATAAGGCTTAAGACCGCCGGCCTAGGGGTGGCCCCATTCACAGTGAGCTCAACCCTCCCACGTTAAGCATTAATGAAGAAAATGCCCCATAGCCTTGCCTCCGAATAATCTGATGGAGGCGTTTTCTCAACTGTTGTCACTCATCCCAGATAACTAAAAGCAATGAGCACACGATACATCTGAAAAGTTCAGGCATCATATGTTGTTCTTTTGTAAAAGTTTAAAAATTAGAAAAAGAAAAAGGTGAAAAGATGGAAGCAGGGCTGGCGCGATGGAGCACAAGCCATGGAGAGTAAAGTCATTGAGAGCACATTAATCATAGTTTATTATAGCGGTGGGAGAGCGAGAGGGGGAGAAAGAGACACGAGAGAGACGAAGGGGGTAAGAGCAGAGCAGGAGGAGAGAGAGAGAGAGAGAGAGGGAGGGAGGGAGGGAGGGAGGGAGGGAAGGAGGGAAGGAGGGAAGGAGGGAAGGAGAGAAGAGTGAGAGAGTAAATGGGCAGGAGTCTGTCCTTTTAAGGGGTCCTTTAAACCTTCGTGAGACTAGCTCTCATGGAACTCTGGGCTGGCCAGAGTACTGCCTGAGTACATTTTCATCACCAACACCACTGCGCATATAATCACTTGGTGGTTCTCTTGGACAGAAAACAAAGGACAAAGAACCAAACCAGAACAAAGAGGCAACAATGAAGGCCGCACAGAGGTGGAATGTTTAAGGATGAGGGGTGGCAGTCCAGCAGCACTTCAGTGTGTTTGTAGGATCACTGCCGCTCACTGTTGACAATTGTACAGCCTAGGAGTTCCTTTCCGAGATCTCTCCGCTCAGGTAAAGATGGCCCAGTAGATCAACCAGGCCTCAAACTCAGAGACCTGCTGCCACCACACCCAGATTTCGTCATGTATTTTCAAACCACAATTAAAAATTAGAATAAGCGTTAAATCTCCAGTCAGGAATATCTTTCAATTCAGCAATCATCAGTCGTAGAAATTTATAGGAAGTTAACCTATAGACATGCTAGCAAGAGTCCAAAGGCATATGTGTACATTTATATAAATATGCATTTATAATAAATAGAGCATACATGTGCATTTAAACGTGTGTGTGTGTGTGTGTGTGTGTGTGTGTGTAGGACAACAGACACGCTGAACTATATGACACTTTAATGAAGGTGAATTTACCACTGAAATAGGGATCAGATGGTCATGGGTTGTGGTTTCTGGGAACTGAACCTTGGTCCCCTGGAGGAGCAACCAGTGCTCTGAACCACTGAACCATCTCCCAAGCTCATGATGCTCACTTTTAATGGTGAACAGACAACACACAAGGTGAACAAATTAAGTACACAGTTCGGTCTGTCAGCTAGCCATAGATGCTAAGAGAATATCAGAAGGATAGGAGCTGGGAAGTTGCCTCTGAAAGACCCTCCCTGTCTATGCATTTAACAAAATAAAGTATCCTATGGGGGGAAATAGACTGGACTGGGCATAGCAGAACATTATACCCCACTAAGGGTCATGCTCTCACATTTATGTGGGCACATACAACAATGTTAAGTGAAAAATCTATGCAGTATGATATTTTCTATTTTATACATAAGAAAACAAACAAAAACCAAACGAAGCAAACAAAGGCTGTTTGAAGTAACCATAACCCTTCCCCCAAGCAGCATGGAATAAGGTGTCATCCAGCCCTGTTCCAGTTATCAGAAACACAAAGTCCTCCTGGGTTATTGTTCTGTCGTCATCACGTTTCCCGGTCTGCTTAGCAGGAAACAGGAAATAAGAAGGAAGGGAATACACCTTTTTTTTTTAAATTTAAATTTAAATTAGAAACAAGGTTGCTTCACATGTCAATTCCAAGTCCCTCTCCGTTTCCCTCCCCTCCTCCCGTGCCCTCCCCCCCCCCATATCCCTTCATTTCCCCAGGGAGGGTGAGGCCCTCCATGGGGGTGTCCATAGACTGTCATTTCATCCAGGGCAGGGCCTAGACCCTCCCCCAAGAGTTCAGGGTGAGAGTGCATCTCACATTGTTGGATGGGAGTCCAAAGTCCATGTGTATACCCGGGATAAATACTGATCTACTGCCCAAAGCTCAATGGATTACCTAGGCCTCCTCACAGACACCCACATTCAGGGGGGTAATACCCCTTCTTAAAAGGAGTTTTCTGTTCTTGCGGGCCAGAGCTCGAGGCGCGTGCTGGGAGAAGACTGTAACTTCAGACAGGGGAACCAAATCTCACCTTGAACTCTTGGGGAAGGGTCTAGGCCCTGCCCTATATGAAATGACAGACTATGGACACCCCCATGGAGGGCCTCACCCTCCCTGGGGGAATGAGGGGATAATGGGGGGGTTGGAGGGAGGGCACGGGAGGAGGGGAGGGAATGGGAGAGGGACCTGGAACTGACTTGTGAAGCAACCTCGTTTCTTATCTAAATTTAAACTGGAAAAAAAAAACTGGGCGAAGGGAAGAACAGCTGTGGAGAAGGTTGTTTTCTCTGCCATACACTGCCGTCACCATGCCCGACCAGAACCGTAAGTAGGAAAACGACGACACTGGCTGTTGGATGAAAAAAGAAAAAAAAGAAGAAAAAAGAAGAAGAAATATGGAATAAGGATAGGCGCGATGGATGGAGCACAAGCCATGGAAAGCGTATTAACCATAGTTTATTATAGCGAGACCAAAAGCGGGGGGAGACAGACGTGAGAGAGACAGAAGATGAGAGAGGATGAGATAGAGAGAAAGACGACAGTAAAGGAGGATGAGATGATGAGAGTAAGAGAAGAGTAAAAGAGTAAAGAGAGAGCATAAGCGGGTAGGGGTCAGTCCTTTAAAGGGGTCCTTTGCACCTGCTTGTAGACTGGTTCTCACAGAACTCTGGGCTGGCCAGAGAACTGCCTGAATGCATCCTGCCAGGTAACAGGGCAGGCCAGCATAATGCCTGGACCTTTCATTCCCACCTTTATGATTAAAAAGAGGTGGGGGCATTACACGTGGCAGGTTAGGGAATAAGGACATTGAGTTCTTAAGACTGCTTCCTGCTGACCTTGGGGCTGCAACCATCTTTGGGGAATCTTGAGAAAGTTGGGGTGTTGTGTGCCTGAACCTTTCACATACAACACACAAGTTGTTTTAAAATAGGGTGGTCTGGAACTTGCCATGCAGGCCAAGCTAGCCTTGGACCCTGCTGTCTCCAGAGTACTGGCACACTGGACAAGACAAACAGCTTCTATACAAAGATCTGAGCTGGGCTTTGTTTGGGCAAAGCACAGCCTTGCTGGCCAGTGGTGAATGGAGAAAGCCAGAGCTCAGAGAACGGGACGATGCTCTTGGATTAGTCTTTCACTGTCACACTGGACACTTCCTCACCTTGTCCACAGTCCCGAAAAGGAGTCGTTTCCTGGCAAGTCTAGTTCACCATTAGCCTACTTTCTGCAAACTTCAGGTTGTCCAACTGGTTGGTGTACACTACCGTCCTTGAGAGAGTGTTTTACTCTTCCCCTGCTCCCCAGTTGAGAATAGCTGATGAACACAAAACAACAACAAAAGTTTTTAGCTTCTTTCTTAGTTTCTCACCTGAGACAAGGCGGAGGGTCTTCATGGATGACACCAGCATCGATAGAAACTGATTGCAGTTCCTAGTTCTAACTGGCAATGCTAAGTCTTTGTTTTTCTTCTATGCACCAGTGGCACAGTTTAAAAATTTGAAGATCCCACAGTAATCATATCAGAAATCCTTTCCTCTGTCTACTATAATTTTATTTTTTTACATAATTATTAACTCTTTGGAAATTTCATACCATGCACCCCAATACTGATCACCTCCAAGTCCCTCCATATGTGCCTCCAAAATTAATTAATAGCAAACAAAAACAAAGAAAAGTCCTACCTCATTCCTCCATTGTCTCTGCACTCTCTCAAGGAGCCCTGTGATTGTAAAGGTTTCTATAGCTGGACATTACTGCCCCTACTGGTTAGATCTGATGACAACCAGATAATCATTTTATAGCTACAGTCAAGCTTTCTCAATAATAATAATAATAATAATAATAATAATAATAATAATAATAATAGCTATATCCTCTGGTAGCCCCATTAGTCAATTTCTTACTGCATTTTCTTCAGGAAACACTTGAGGGAAGGAGGGAAAGAGAACAGACGAACAGAATACCTTGTATTTCTGCCTTCCCTTCTCTTCAGCCTGTCCTTTGCAGTAGCGTCTTGCTGAAGTATTGAGTCATTTCATTATATGGAAAGAATAGAAGGACAAGACTTTTAAATTTCAAATAGAATCAGCCTAAAATAGTGTTCTGTACACAGGAGGCATCCAGGAAATGTTTCTTAAGCAACTGGAAGGCAGGCAGACAGAGAGTTATGAAGGAAGCAGAAAAGAGAAGCTAAACTTCCCAGCTCTAACTGGGGAGATGAGGTGCCAGGCAGAGTAAATAACATCCTAGTACATACAAACTGACATTGTCTTAAGGACTTTACAGATTGTACTGGCTGGTTTTGTGTGTCAACTTGACACAAGCTAGAGTCATCAGAGAGAAAGGAGCCTCAGCTGTGGAAATGCCTCCATGAGATCCAGCTGTAAGGCATTTTCTCATTTATTTAATTAGTGATCAATGAGGGAGGGCCCTGTCCAGGGTGAGTAGTTCCATCCCTAGGCTATTGGTCCTGAGTTCTATAAGCAGACTAAACAAGCCAGGAGAAGCAAGCCAGTAAGCAGTACCCTTCCATGGCCTCTGCAGTAGCTCCTGCCTCCAGGATCCTGCCTTGTTTGAGTTCCTGAACTGACTCCCTTCAATAATGAACAGCAATGTTGAAGTGTAAGCCACATAAACCCTTTCCTTGCAAGTCAGGTATTCAGGCTTGACAGATGTCTCCTGAGAGTTTGAGTCCATCCTGGGCTGCACAGAAAGTCCAAGAGCCATGCCAGCTAATAGGTATTCCTCATTGTTAAAAGCAAATCAAAGGATGGGGGTGTAGCTCAGTGGTTTCATCTCCAAAGCCATAAAAACAAAATCACTGTTGTTTGGTTTTCAATATGTGTGTGTATGTGTGTGTGTGTCTACATGCAGAGACCACAGGTTGATGCTGGGTGTCTTCCTTAATTGCCGTCCACTTTACTTTTGAGACAGGGTCTCAACCTGGAGAATACCGGGTCGATCAGATGGCCAGCAAGTCTTGGCTTCCCCATTACATTCAGGTCCTCATCCTTGTGTGGCAAACATATTAACATATGAGCCATTTCCCCACTCCTGTGGATATTTGATTTGTTTTTGTTTTTTTCATGTCAGGGTTTCTCTGTATTGCTTTGGAGGTTGTCCTGGAACTTATTCTGTAGACCAGGCTGGCCTCGAACTCACAGAGATCCACCTGCCTCTGCCTCTTGAATGCTGGGATTAAAGGTGTTTGCCATTAAAGCATGGCTGGATATTTGATTTTTAAAATAACTCATTTTCTTACTATTGATCCCACCAATACATTTCTTTTGACTCCAGCTATTATATTCGTTATTTTGGTTCATATCCTTCCTGAATTGTTTTATTCATTATCTTTCCCTTTAGATTACTTCAATGTATTTTTAAAATTTGAAAGTCTTTGTTAGATGTTAGCATGTTTTCCTACTGACCATACATGGTTTCTAGTCTATCTTTCTACTAGTTGTTCTTTTTATAATTTTTTTTTGTTAAAATAGAACTATATCACTTTCCCTCCTCTCTTTCTCCTAAGCCCCTCCCAACTACCTTCCCCTGCATCTTTCTCATGTGCCCCTCAAATTGATAGATTTGATTGTTACAAAATTATATTTATGTATATTTACATATATTTATATTGGTGCTGAGTCCACTTTTGTTGGAAAAGCATGGCTGATCACTACTCTGCACTGGACAACTAATAAGGGGCTCATCTCTGGGAGAGGCTAATTTTCTTAATCCCAGCAGTCATTAGTTTTTTGGGACCCCACAAAATTCTCACCTTCCCAATTAACATGTCCATTGATATTGACATTGTTTCAGTCTGTTTATGCAGCCATTTCTAGGAGAAACTGTTTCATAGCAGAATTCCTAGAATTCTGGCTTTTATACTGTCTCCTCTTCAAAGATTTTCTCTGAACCAGAGATGCAGGAGCTGTGATGTAGATGTATCCATTGGTGCTGGGCTTCCCATGAGCTATGATGTTTGCACTGTGTCCAGCTGTGGTTTTCTGTGATGCTCTTCATTAGTTATGGAGAGGCTTCTCTGATGAGTGTAGGTGGCTCCACTTACCCAGGAAAGGTGGCTCACAAACATGTTAATGTTTTTATGTGTGGGGACATTTTGCTTGCATGTATGACTGTCTGCACCACTTACTTGTGTGCCTGATGTGTGGGGAGGTTCTAATAGGGCATTGGATCCTAGCTGGGGTTATAGACCATTGTGAGCCACATGAGGGACCTCTGGAATAGCAGGTGCTTTTTTGTTGTTGTTGTTTTGTAATTGTAGTTGAATTACATTTCTCCTTTCCTTTTCCTGCCCCCAAACCTTACCACATACCCTTCTCCACTCTCCTTCAAATTCATGGCTTCTTTTCTGCTGCTATTGTATGCTTGCATGTATACATTCCTAAAGGTAACCTGTTTAGTCCAAATGATGTTACTTGTATGTTTTCAGGACCAACCATTGGCACTGGACAACCAATTGGTATGTTCTTCCCTGGAGAAGACCACCTCTACTTCTTCCAGCTTCCTTCAGTTGCCTGTAGTTCTTTGTGTAGGGTTGATGCCTCATGGGCTTCTCTCCATCCATTTTGGCATGTTCATTGGTGTCACCATCAGGAAGCTTGCTATGAGCTTGTCTCCTAGTAATAACAGAGGCAAGTGTTCTCTTAACACTCAGCTCTCTTCAAACCTTTGTTCTTTCTCTTAACAGCATTAATATTTTTTTTAAGTAGGCAGGTTAGTTACTAACTAGCTCCTTGATCTTTATTAAGGCATTTTCCTTCTTAAGGAACAGGCATACACCCAGGTTGTGGTTTCTGCTCCTAATGCCCAGTCTAAGTTTCAGTGGAAAAGCCGGAGCTGTTGCTACGGTCCTGTTTGTGTCAGACTTGAACTCCACACTTTCTCCTTTGGGTTGAACTGCTTCTGAAATACCTGAAGATTAACAATTATTTTCCCTGTAGTTCCTGCTCTGTGTATTGTTTAGGAGTAAATCAAGAACTTAGAGTTTGAACGTAGACTTTGTGGCTACATACAATGGCACTATCATTTTAAAATTTCCTCCCTTGGTTATTGGTTACTTGGGCTTCCCTAGACTATGACAGACTCATCATGAACCAGTACCTTCCACCTAAACCCTCTGAACATAGAGCTCACTATGATTGCAACTAAATGTCTGAGTGCCTTCAGTTATTTCTATATCTAGACACTTTGTTACAGTGATTTTGATAGCAGGTTTTAAAGGCAGTTTTTCTTCTTAATCTTAGTTTTACTTTTTTTTGAGGCATGATTTCATGCAGCTGTGGTTGGTCTGGAACTCATTCTACAGCCAAGAAGGATCATGACCTCCTGATCTTCCTGGCTCCACCCCAAAATGCTGGGATTATAGGCTTGGCAAATTATTTACTTACAAAGTAAATTTGACTTTTTTAAAGACAGGGTTCACTATATTGTTTCAGCTGGTCTGAAACGTCACTCTGTAGACCAGGCTGACATTAAATTCACAGATATCTGCTTGCATCTGCCTCCCAAGTGCCTGGATTAAAAGGTAAGGCTAGCATCACCATACCCCATACTTTTGCTCTTTTAAATTCGCAAATAAAAATCAAGGGATTCCCACATCATTACTATGTTACATGTATGGTACACATCTTCCCTCAAAAGTCAGCTGGGGATGACAACTGAAAAAGTATAAGGGATGATGCATCACATGGGAAAATGGCAAGAAAATTAACTGTACAGATAGATTAAATTGACCAAAACATGTTTATTACATTTCTTGGTATTACAAATGGCATCATACATTGTAAATGCAGTATCTGTATATACACTATACATTCATCTATACTGTGGACCATGTTGCTGAAATGATAGTGCCAGCGGCTAAGGGTGTGGCTGAGAGGGTGACTGCCTGCCTGCCATGTGTGAGGCCCTGGGTGAGAGCCATAGCACCTGAAAACAAAGAAAAGGTCCCCAAACCATGAATTTCATGAACAAGAGCTATGTTAGTTAAAAATTCCATTTTTTTTTTTTTGTTGCTTTTCAAGTTCAAATTTCCTGAGACAAAAGCTTGCGGTTTTAGGGATGAAAGGGCATATCCTTGGCTCCAAGGACTGTAATCTTTGACACCGGTCACAGAGAGTATGAGTACCATCAAGGCAAGCGTGACAAACCTCTCCATTCTTATCCCAGGGTCAAGATGACACTTTGTAATGCTGGGGGAAAAAAGTGGACAGAACTTTCTTTTTTTAAAGAAGGACCCTCCATTTCCTAAAAACAAAGGTTTTTTTTTTTCCCTTAAAGTACGCCAGCTGACTGTCCTTCTGGATGCTCATTCCAGGATCAGGTCACAAGTCTAACCCTATGTGAGACAATGGCATGAACAGAATGACTTTTGAAAACCCCAGAATTTGCAAAGAGAAGTATGGGAATGTCTGAACTTGCAACTTGTAAAGGACTTTCAATACAACTTGGCAGAAGTTGTTTCTCTCCATTCACCATGTGGGCCCTAGGGATGGAATTCAGGTCATCGGGCTTACAGGCCATTCCTTACTCACTAGCCATCTTACCAGTCCTAGGTGACAATTTTCTTCTGTCATCTAAAAGTTTTCTAAGGTCATACCTAGATGGTTGAGGCAAACAAGCTATAGAAAGACCCCAAAACTAAAACCAGCAAACAGAAACAAGTCAGTCCCTCTCTACTCTTTAGGTAACTATACTAGGCAGAGAAATGTTTTCTAGGGAAAGAGGGCTTCTACGCAAATGGAGATTCTGGTTGCTCTCAGATAGGAGCAAAATATAGCAGCAATGTTTTCCTTATTGGAACAGAGAATTCCTTAAGGTAAAAGTTCCTAGACAATCCACATGAAATAACCATTTACTAAGAAGCACTTACTACATGCTCTATTTTACTTGGAGACCGACATGTCCCTTTCTGAAAAACACAAAAGCTTACACAGATGGCATTTAATAAGAAAAAATAAGGAGTAACAATTCCTTAAATTCATAAGGATACAAACAAAAGTATAAATGTTACTATGTGAAAAGATTACAAAGAGACAGAGAGGGCTTGCGATGTTAAAGAATTCAAGAGAAAATCAACATACATTTTCATAAGTGTACTCAATTTAAGATGTTACTACATCTAGCATTCAACCCCCCCCCAATACTGGGGACACAGGGCATTCCTAGCCCTATACTATTGTTAATGCACACTTTTATAACTTCAAGCATGTGCTCAGTAGTGCCAGAAACAAAAAAATCACAACGGTGCTTGAGAAATGTCTTGTGCCCTGGGGACTTCAGGAAATACTCTACCACTGAGCTACAGCCCCAGCCTGCATGTTCAAGACAGGTTCTTACCGAAGTGCTTAGTCTGGCCTTGAACTGGGTCTGTAGTTCAGAACACCCTTAGTTATGATCCTGCTGCCCCTGCCTCAGCCTCCTAAGATGGGAATATGGGCCCGCCTTGAGAAAATGTCTCCTTCTAACAGTCATGTACAGATTTATAGCTAGATTGGCAACAGATCTAACAGAGGTAGGGGCCTATGTGTTTTGAGAAAGAAGTTCGAAAGTTCACCTGGTGGTAGATAAAAGACCATGCAGAGAGAATACATGGGGAAGCTCTAGATGGTAAGACTGTAGAATGCATTCGAGGGAAGGGAAGAAATTAGATGAGGGGCAATCCTTACCTTTTTCCTCAAGCGCCATTATAGCAGATGACAAGGCTCAAGCAATGTTATGCTGTCTTCACTGCTTCCTTAGTAATAACACCCTTTGCACTCTCATGAAGAGCTTAAGACATCTAAATCTCATGATCACTCTTAGGGGACTTCATGCTGGGATCGATGACATGGGGAATGCCAATTTCACACTAGTCCTCAACAACATGGAACTGTTACACCCAATGAAAAACTCTTGGTTGGCTAAGCAAACAGTTTTTCTAGCATTACTGTCTCCTAATTACCTTCTCAGTCTAAGTATTCTTTGATGGAAATTCCAGACTTGCCCAACTTTATAAATCAAGGAAGTGAGAGGGATGAGAAGTCCACAAAAGTGATAGGCCCGGAACTCTGGTGTCTAAGCCTATGTCTAAACCACACTTAATGTGGAGGGGTTTGATTAAGTTTGTATATTCTAGACTGGGTTACAGAGCACCTCATTATTTTGGTAAAGACTATGTTGGCTGCTTCTCAGTATGTTCTTGGAAGAGATAAAACATTAAAATAGGTACAGTGAGTAGTTGTCTTCCCTCCACCCCCCCAGTGTTGTCTAACCCTAACTGAAGGCCAGAATGGGATAGATGTTAATGCTTCCTGCCTGAAATACTCCTCCTGCTGGATTGCCCTGAACTGGCTCCCTGGACTTGCCTTGCCTCTGGATTCAAGCAGAAATTGACTCTTCTTTATTTGAAGCTTGCTGGCTAATTAATATAGGCTGGAATGGATGTCACTGGTTTTCCTGGTTGTCAGGCCTTAG